TGACTACCCTGACTCCAGTCATAGCCCGCAATCCAAGCAGCAAAGGACTTCCAGCTGAAAGCCATCTATTCCCGATCCCTCAAATCCGCCCAGGATCTCGCAAATGGGACTACGGGCGTTGATCTCTACTCCGAGGACTCTGGCGCCGGAAAGGGCTATGCCGATTTACTCGCCCGCGAGGACATCGCGGCGGTTGTCATCGCGTGCGTCTGGCCCTCTGCCCCTCAACGATCAAGACTCACTGGCTAATCAAATCCGGGCAGCCTCCCCATCCTGGTGCAGCCGGCTTTCATCCGCAAGGCCCTGACGGCAGGGAAGCACGTCCTGTCCGAGAAACCGATTGCCAAGGACATTGCCACGGCGCGGGACCTGCTGCAATGGTACCATGCCAACATCGACACCAGCAAGACCCTCTGGGCCGTCGCTGAGAACTTCCGGTACATGACCAAGTTCCTGCGCACGGCCGAGGAGGTGCAGAAGCTGGGGCGGGTCAAGAATTTCCGGGTGAATTCTCACGCGCTGATCTCCACGGACTCGAAGTATTTTAGTAAGTTATATCTACTTGCTCTAATCTTATTGCATCTAGCACATAAATCTAATGAAGCAGAAACTGCCTGGCGCCAGACACCCGAATACCAGGGCGGATTCATCCTCGACGGCGGTGTCCATGTGATAGCAGCTCTACGATTGATTCTCGGGTCGAGCGACCCTGTCACTACGATATCCGCGCAGTCCTGCCTCCAACAGCAGTATCTCGCTCCCCTGGATACGGTGGACGCGGTGATGAAGACCAGATCTGGCGCTTCGGGGGTGCTGTCCTTGTCGTACGGATCAGCGTTCAACGACTCTGTTTTCGAGTTTGACTGCGAGAGAGGCGTGGTCGCCTTGAACTTTGACCGGCTAACAGTCAAAGGCGAGAGCAATGAGCTCGCTTTTGACGGCCGAGGTGTTAGCCGTGAGGTCGCCGTATTTGCTGCGACCATTGCCAGCGGTGGTTCCATCGACAAGCGACAGAGTCCGGAAGAGGCGTTGGCTGATTTGGAGATTATGGAGAAGATGTTGACCAGTGGTGAGAGAGACGGCGAGAGGCAGAGTGTGGAATTACAAGTGTAGATACTTATGAGCTTCATGACAGTTAATTCCTGCCTTAGTTATACTTCAATCTGATAGGTACATCCATAGAGAAATCATGTCTTGGCGAGGGTTAGCCGCCCAAGCCCTAAACACCCGTTCTCGCTTAGCGATCCACTAGCGTCCCCGCTGCACTCAGGCTCGCTCGCTCAGGCGGCCAAACCTCAGCGGAATTTTTGAGATTGAACTCGAATCGTCACGACAACTCTCGAGCGCCAGCCAGCGAGACCCAACGATACCGACAAGGTATGTTCATTATCTGCATTTTCCTTTCTTTGATGCATGAGATTGTACTGACAGTTTCAAGATGGTCCTCGCAAAGAAGCACGTCCCTATCGTCAAGAAGCGTATGTTCTAGCTCCCTCTGCCAGCCTTTCCCTGCCTCAAGCACACGCACAAAATTCGGTTCTGGAGAGATATAAGGAATGGATGTTTTGGTTTGGATGTGATGGAAGAGACGGTTTCAGAGAAGAGATGGATCAGCGACCGGATCAAGACCTTTTGTTGCGAGCGTTGCATGAATTACTTGAAAATTCACACACACGAACACATGGAATATCAGGAGGACTGACACGGTTGTGAACAGGCACCAAGCGCTTCTTCCGCCACCAGTCCGACCGCTTCAAGTGCGTGCCGGAGTCATGGCGCAAGCCCAAGGGTATCGACAACCGTGTCCGCAGACGCTTCAAGGGCAACATCCCCATGCCTTCCGTACGTTCAGTCCCTCCGACCCTAAGCCGCCTCAGATTCGATCATCTCGACGAGAACAAATCTGGAATCGCTGTGGCCTACCTTTGCGAACTGCAATGCTGATATTTCCTGGACTAGATCGGTTACGGTAGCAACAAGAAGACCAAGCACATGATGCCCTCCGGCCACAAGGCTTTCCTCGTCCACAACCCCAAGGACGTCGAGCTGCTGCTCATGCACAACCGCACCTACGCCGCTGAGTACGTTGCATCCGTCTGAACAAAAGCAACACCATACTGATTGATGGAATAGGATCGCCTCCGCCGTCTCTTCCCGCAAGCGCGTCGACATCATCGCCAAGGCCAAGGCGCTCGGCGTCAAGGTCACCAACCCCAAGGGCCGTGTCACCGTTGAGGCGTAAATGGTGGAATAGGAATGATGAAATAATAGAACGAAAAAATTTGACCCTAGCCTTTTACCTCTTACAAATATACCATGAAGGGGGGCCGGATGGTGGACGTCCTTTTTATTTTCCTCCTCTTTCCTCATCCTTGTGGCTGAGTGTCCGTGGCCGTGTCCTCTGGCGGGTGCGGAAAAGGGTGTCGATTGTCGGTTCCATGTATGGTCGTGAAATCCTCGTGGCAATGACGATTCAAGATATGTGCATCACGCATGCTTTGTTAGGACGTATGGGGTGTACGGGCACCTATTATCGTAAATGTAGATCTCGTCCAGGCCATGCATACGTTCCCGACCACTACAGTATGTGCGTAGCTTGTACATCATGTCAATGTGCAACGTATAGTCCATATATTAATGCATCTATTGCTAAAATCATGCCATCTATGTATCATGCAGTATCATACCGCCTCCTGAAACTCCTGCTGCCGCGCAGCAGAGATATCTACAAGCCCGACTCCCCGCAGCAGCACCGGATTCTCCCTCTTCTCATCAGAACCCTGGACAACCATGCCCTCGGGAATCGGCGTCTGGCCGATGACAATCTCCTCCTCTTCCGGGACAGGCACCCAGCCGGGTGCCTCACGCGGCCCATCCAGCCCCTTGGGCGGCATGGCCCATGAAGGCATCTTGCTGCGATACTTCCACTGGCCCTCCAGATCGGAATACGCAACCGCATGCAGGAAGATGCCGAGCTCATGGACGCCCGGGTCAGTGTAGAGCTCCGTGCCGCAGACGTCGCAGACCTCGCCGGAGAGGCGCTCGCCCTTGCGCTTGTGGTAGTCGTGCACGGCGGCCTCGTGCTCGCGCGACATGATCTCCTCGACGACGGACGGGTGCGTGCCCGGCGGCACGGGCGGCACGGTCGTCAGGTGCGTGCGGTACGTTGTCGTCGTGTCAGCGACCTCTGTCTTGCCCATCTCCGAGAGCCGGTCCATGATCTCTTCGTCGCGCTCGGCGGTCGCCTCGTTGCGGCCGAGGTCCGGCCCGAAGACCCGCCGGTTGGAGTAGATCGGGTCGTTGGTGATCGGGTGCCCGAGGAACTGCAGGTGCACGCGGATCTGGTGCGTGCGCCCCGTCAGCGGGAGGCAGTGCACGATGCTGTAGCCTTCGGATTCGTTGGCGAGGAGCGGTGGCGGCGTGGCGGGCCGGTCGCCGCTGGCTGTCACCTCGTTCTCGTCGCGCTCGGGGGCGGGCGAGGCAGGCGGGTAGTACGCTAGCCGGCGGAACTTGGTCTTTGCGTCTTTGCCGGTGGCGCGCACGCGGTTGAGCCCCAGCTTGGGACTGACGGACATGATGGGCTGGTCGCAGACCACCACGCCCTCCGGGAAGCGGCCCTTGACGCGCGCAATGTACTCCTTTTGCACGGTGCGCTGCTTTAGCTTGATGGTGATGGCGTCCGCGGCCTTGGGGTGCTTCGCGATGAACATCACCCCGGAGGTCAGGCGGTCCAGTCGGTTGCAGGGCCGTGGGACGAACTCCTGCCCGCGCTGCGAGCGCAGGATCTCGACGATCGAGTTGTAGTGGTATCGGCCGGCGGCGTGGACGGGGACACCTGCGGGCTTGTCGATCACAAGGATATCATCGTCCTCGTGAATGATTCCAATCTCGTGGCCGGTGACGGGGGGCTCATGGCGGTGGAGGGTATGCGAGATGATTTCGCCGTTCTTGATCACGGTTTCGGGAGCCGCGGTTTTGCCGTTGACGGTGACCTTGCCATCCGCAAGGGCTTGGACCTGCATTGCATTAGCAACCGCTTTCAATCTGATACAGTCTGGAGACCCACGTAGTACTCGGCTGGCCGATCTCTAAACTCGGACGTGAAAATTTCCTGCAACTCCCGACCCCGCCATCGCTCCTTGCAGTAGGTGTTGTATGTGTAGTAGTAGGGCTTGACCCTGCGCAGCCCGCCTTCAAAGTAGTATGGGATCGGCCATGGATCGCATGGAGTGACTGCGACTTTCGGGGGTTCTTCGACGGGGTCCGGAGGAGGGACTTTGAGGGTGGTGTCGACGGGAACGACAGCCATGCTGGACGCAGGTATCCTGCCTCGTCGCAGCAGATATGCAGTAATGCGAGGAGATGGAGCCAGGGGTAATGTATCAACGATCTCGTAATAGTGTACGACCGAGTAGGTTCGTGTACGCTCGTGTCCTGGCGAAGGCAAAAAATAGCCACCGAAAAAAGATAAAAAATAAATTAGCGTTGCGGGGAAATCAGATTGAGAGGTACAGACATCAACAACTGGATAAAAGCGGCTATATACTGTCCGATATCTAAAATGTTTATATACCGTCCGATAGCGATATATTTACCTCTCTAGAATACTCATATTCAATTCAATATGGCAATATCTTGGCTGTCAATCATGACTGTTCGCGATCACATTCCCCGCCTCAGACACATCTGCATAACTTATCCCATTACTAATATTGCATAAATTATACAACCAATCAAATGTTTTCATTTCAACCTCGGCTCCTTGGTGCCTGAGGTTCTGCGAGCCTCGACATCGACATCAACATCAAACAAATACAACAGCACTACAACTACTCTATAAGAGGCTAGAAATTACTTTGCATCAAGAGAATTGTATTGAAAGCGCATTTGTCCGGAATTGAATTCTGATTGCGAGCCCAACCGGACGAACAACAATATCATCGTCAGTTATATATTACTCCACCCGCATCCTACTATAACTCCACTACGTCGCACCAACAATGTCCCCCAAAGAGGAACTAGAAGCCAAAAAGCGCCGCAGGCGAAGCGACTACGTCTTCCACCAGGAACACCGCACCCGATGGCAAGCACCCATCCTCTCCCCTACCAACCACCAACTAATGCAGGCCAGGTTCGACAACGACATGTACGCCCACCTCAACAACACCGTGTACGCCATGCTCTTCGACTCGATCGTAAATAGCTGGCTCATAGTCGAGTGCGGGATGGATCCGTTCAACAGGAACAAGTCCGCCGACGGTGACACTGAGCGGAACATCTCGCAGCAAGTCGGGATCATGGTCAACTCGTACTGCGACTACTTCGCCTCGGTGTCGTACCCGGATGTACTGGATCTGGGGCTGCGGGTTGCGAGGCTGGGGTCGTCGAGCGTGACGTATGAGGTTGGGGTGTTTCGGCGGGGGGAGGAGGATGTGAAGGTTGTCGGGGGGTATACGCATGTGTTTTGTGCGAGGGAGACGATGAGGCCGGCGGAGGGGGGGATGGAGGAGAGGGTGCGACGGGGGTTGGAGAGGTTGGTTGTTAGGGGGGGGGCTAAGTTGTGATGTATTCATTTATTCATCAGTGTGAGGGTGGGTATAATTGTGGTGAAGCTGTTGCAGATGATAGACTACCGTCTAATCCTACATACACCCAGCCATGGAAATAGAAGCCAGACTGGCTATCTGTGACACTGGCGGTGTGTGTTCGTTCATAGCTAGTGATTCCCCAAGGTTGGGTTGATTCAAATAAGGACCGAATTTTTGTGTTCCATTACTCCTACTGATAGCAGGCTGTAGTATCTAGCAATCAAAGTAAACCCAATATGTGAGATATCAACACGCTGTTTTATAGATCATGGACAAAGCAACAATAGCAAGAAAGTCTATCCTTCTAACCCAAACCCAAACGCCATCGCTAAATCAACCATTGCCGATATACACGTCGTCCGATGATTGTATCAGCAAGTTATTTGCGATGGAAACAATAACAAATATATAGACACCCGCTGAAACGCTGTTGGCGACAATTATGAGATAAGGTAGTCGTCGGAGTAAAGAGGTGAAACGAGTTGAAGAGTGATGAGATGATGTGCCCAAGGTACAGCCAAGCTAACCCATCTTGGTGGGGACGATGCTGCTGCACCGAGAGACGTTGGAGCTTTCAGGAGACAGGACGCGCTCCATCGTCTTTGTGCCATGGTCGTAGTGCCACTTTTGATACGGGCCAGGGATGAACTTTCCTTTGGCGTCCCAGCCGGCGACCCAGGTGTAGCCGTCGTCAAGGAGGAAGAAGAGCAGTCTTTCTGGCTTCGCGCCTTCGTGCAGAGTCACCGACTGCCAACGACATCTGTCTTCCATTTCGTGCTCAAAGATATATCGGTGGAGGATGCGGCAGTAGACAAGTGGGACGGGGACCTTCTCATCGTATTCGCTGCCGTCCTTGTGGACGAGATGCCATCCCTGACCGGGGATGTATTTGTAGATGCCAGGAACAGGGCTTTCCCAATGTTCTTCTTGGTAAATAGATCCCTGAATGCGCTGGCCCCGTTGGAACCAGTACGTCGGGCAAAAGACAGCGCGAAGGCAGATGAAGAGATTCGGCGCCATGAGTATTAGATATTGAACGAGGACGAACAGAGAAGAGGACGGATCAGGACAAAATGGAGAAGAAAAGTAGAAATCCAAAGGAAGCGCTCAGTTGCAGAACTTTTTTCGATTTGAGAAATGAGATAGGGAAAACAGCGTGGTCATAAGTCGATATCCATCGTGACGGTCGTACTTCGAAAAGGATTCGTAGTGGATGGAAGAAGATGAACAGGGATAGACGGTGATGCTGTCACTGGCGCGACACCAATGTCTGAGGGCCAAAGTCCCGGATGATTAAGAATCCGAGTGGGATTCGTCCAAGGGATCTCGACCGCTTGTTACTTGGCTGCTTCCGAGAGCAGGATCAGAGTCAGGATCAGGAGCAACGATAACGCGCTGGCTGCAATGATGCGGTGTGTATCACAGCCCAGGAGGCGTGACGACTGACGGAGTTCGAATCTCCTGGAAATATCATGAACAGAAACAAGAACAGGAACACAGTGATAGTCTGATAGAAGGCAGCTATGGAGAAAGCCGATCGAGACCCGAATGTGACAGAGAGCAGTGCAGCAGTCACCCTGTGTTACAGCTCGTCAAGAGCGCATGGGGGAAATCTCGACTCTGACTGGACGATAAGGAGAAAAGACATTATGCAAGAGGAGAAATCGAGGTATTAGAAGGAGTGTTAAGGTCAAACGCCTTTAAATGAAGATCGTTGTGTGCGCGTTTTCGCACATTTCGAGGCGGTCTGAGGTCAGCCCCCCCGACGGCGTAAGAAAATTTTGATAGTCAGGATCACTGCGCTCCTAAACAGGGACTCCACCGAACCAGGCTAGAAGAACTAGACCTCCTCAAAGAACGGATCCGTCGTGATAGCTTTGCGACAGTCCCATAATTCCGGCGACTCTGACCAACAAAATGCTGCGCCGGTTGAGCTGCAAAGGGGAAACTCTGCGCCGCGGGAAAGCCGAGACCCACACGAGCAGTAAGTAGTATTTTTATCGTGCCGTTTTTTTTTGCTGCGTTTTTTCCCGTCTTAGATTCAACTCTAGATCTCACTCATCGTCATGGCTGAGTCAATTAATTCGACTTTTACTATCGAGACCAGGTGTGCCCAGTCTCGCTAGTTCTCCGGGGGTCCGGGAGATGCGCTTTTTGCTTTTTCCTTCCGTAGTCGTGGGTTTAGCAGGTTCCAACTTCCTGCAAGCTAATGGGATTAGCCGTTGGAACTTAGCAGGCCGTCGGGAAATGTCGTAAAGCAGCTGAAGAGTGAGCAGTGAGCACTTAAAAAAGAGTAGTCAAGCCATCTTCGCAGAAGACTGGGCATCGGCATTGCATTATCAATTGCTATCCACTTCGATACAGGAATCTTGATGCCTGATCATGCCGTTTCCATCTTCGCAGTAATCAGGGCTGGAACGGAAAGGGGTGTCTTCCGCTGATACTCCATCTCTGAGCTTGAAAGCATTTTATCAACTCGATCAATAGGGGTCTCATGTTTTCCATTCCGGCACGATCCTTTGAGAAGTCAAAGCCCGTCGCCGATAACAGGAGCAGACATGGTCGCGTCGATCGTTTTGAATCCGGCCTGGACAGCAATTTTTATTCTTCAGATAGAGGAAGCCCAATAATTTGCATGAGACGCATAATGAGTTTGAGGGACTGTCGATGGAGGTGGACTTCCTCCGAAGTTCAGTGGCATATAGTGGATGATCTTCCAATTGACCTGTCAAAATGCCGCATGTCGTCCGCAAGTCTTCCATCGCCATTAATCAGGTTCCTCGAAGCTGGACAAATCATCAGGCGTTTCTATGTCCTTTCAGAAGAAAGGTCAATATAGTGTTCAGAGGGAGAAATCAGATATCTCATCTTGTGGATCCCCGATCTGCGTTCTGCAGCTCAAGTTCTTCTAGCAGCTCTCTTATCAACCAATGAAATCATGAGGAACCCAGAGATCTTCACTCATGCACGTTTGCCCTGGTATTTAAGCGGCTTGTTGCAACATCTGGATCCTCTCCCTTTCTGTTCTTCTTCCTTGCAAAGACGACGCCACTTCTAGGTCTCTCATGGTAGAGCTCTGGACCTAAATCCTAGGACGTAAGGAGCAATGACTCTGTCAGTGATTCATCAAGCCTGGGCCCCTCAGATGGACAGGATTGATAAGGTACAATCAATAATGTTCATGATCATCGGAAGGAGACAGCACCGCCAGAGATGGCCTGGCGCATGAGGGCACAATGGGGCCGCAGTCCTGAAGGAGCCCAAGTTGGGAACCCAAGAACCTTTCTCACTTGTTTAATATACCGCCTTCGAGACATCCGCGCAATTAGAATATTGGTATGGATTTGTCTGACAGCAACGTCCTGGTCACAAGCTCGAATCCAACAGCTCGGTACTCGTGGGTAATCGCCTCAGGCTCACTGATGCTAGCTATTGCTAGGTTCACCGCTATATTGTAGAAGAAGCCTTCTAGAAACTAGCACTAGTGCATAAATGAACTGCTTTTCTGCACCTCCCATTTCATTACCCAATATGGGTGCTGCTGCTCTTGAAGGGCAGCATATGTAAGCTCCTTAAACAAAGATCACATGATCCCACCTGAGTCGTGTCACGGCTATTTACTCTGCTTCTCTTTCAGGTATGTCAATTCGATTTCCATCGCCATAAAATATGGGGATCCTCTCAAGGTCTTTTTCCCGGACACGCAATTCAATGACGCGAACCATCACCTCGTGGAACAAGAATCACAATTTATTCGAATATACTTCCGGCCGCTTCCTGTGAGCCTATCTGCGGCCGTGGCCCGTCACGACAACAACGATCTTACTGATGCGATATGATGCTCTAGGTTCAACGAGGACATTCGGCGGACCGAACGTCGCGTGCAATTCGACGTGGATGCCCTCGTCAGCGCTCTGTGCTGTGCCACCAAGCGACCTGCCAGTGACCTGGCTGGCATATCAAAACTAGCCGAAGGGGGTTTCAACCGCGTGCTTGAAGCTACCTTCATCGACGGTTATGAGGTGATTGTCAGACTTCCATACAGGATAACCGTTCCGAAATATCTTGCTACAGCGAGTGAGGCGGCTACACTGGATCTGCTTCGGCACAATGGTGTTCCAGTGCCAAAGGTGCTTGCGTATTCCGCGGACGAATCAAATCCTGTCGGCACAGAATACATTATGCTCGAGAAGCTCGAAGGGACACCCTTGAGCGAACAATGGTTTTCTATGAATAATAAAAGCAGAGCCAAAATTGTGAAACAGATTGTGGAGGTGGAGAAAAAACTCATGGCGATCCCTTTTCCCGCAAGTGGAAGTTTGTTTTATCGCAAGGACCTCGGAGAGTCGCAATTGATCGTCCCAATCACTGGACAATCCGATCAGGTCGTCCTTGGTCCTACTGTGCAATATGAGTGGTGGTACCGTGAGCGCAGTCTATTGGATGTTGACCGTGGCCCTTGTATGTATCGTACCTCGCTCCCTCTCTGAGATTCATTGGCGTACAAAATGCTAATCAAGGGACTAGGGAAAACTTATCTCGCATGTTTAGAGGCTCCTGCAAAACGTGAAATAGCGTACTGTCAACGCTACGGCAAACCTCGTCTTCACGTTGAACGCTACCTACGGGAGCTGCATCAGTTCAAAGCAATGTCGCCAGCCGTTCACACTCGTCTTCTCTCTGATTACTTAAAGCTAGCGCCTTATCTGGACATTCCGTCCGACCATCCTCTGGCGCGGCCGGTCCTTCGTCATCCAGATTTTTCGCCGAATAATATATTGGTCAACTCCTCGAATGACATCGTAGGAATCATTGACTGGCAACATGCCGTGGTCCTACCTCTATGCTTATGCGCTGGTATACCCGATCACTTCCAAAATTGGGGTGATCCGATATCAGAGACCCTTGCAAAGCCAGAAACCCAACTACCAGAGAATTTCGAGTCTCTTGACCGAAGCGAGCAAGAGCTGATTCAGGAGACCATGCGAAGACGCCTTGTCCATTTCTACTATGCTGCACTAACCATGCGGCAAATGCCGGAGCACTTTGACGCTCTGAGAGACGAGAATTCGATGCTGCGGGCAAAGCTTTTCAACCGTGCGGGGGCTCCTTGGGAAGGCGACTCGCAGTCTCTGAGATATGCGATCATGCAAGTTTGTAAAAACTGGCCCATGCGTATTGGTAACTCGGGTCCGGCTCAACCAGTTGACTGTCCTGTGCACTTCGCGGAAGAAGAGATGCTGCAATGCACGAAAGACCATGATCAGGAGCAGGAAAAGCTGCAGGAGCTTGCGGAAATGAGAGAAATCATAGGTATTGATGCCGTGGGTTGGGTCCCTGACGACGAGCATCTTGAAAAATCAAGAGCCATCGCACAGTCTATTAAGGCGGGCTTGATGGAACACTCGAAGAGTGACCTCGAGCGGACTGCCGTACTCGATCATTTTCCTTTCGACGATCATGACGAAGAGGTTTGAAAACTCTACTAGCAGGCTTTGGTTAGGCACTCTTAGCCTCGATACACATAGTACTCAAGGTATCATAGGAGTGACTGTATAGTTAAGCTGCGGAGAGGGGCACATTGCGTCGAGGAGCCCGGGACCAGCCTGGCGAGCCGCACCAGATCAAGTCCCTCGCAAGGGAGCATCCCTGCTAATGCGCTGTCCTGCCCGGCAATCTAGACGCTGAGGGAACTGGCTCGCATGCCTTCCAAATCCAGGCATTTTGCTCCACGGTATACCCAGCACGTGGTTTCAGTGACCACCACGGATTTGAGATACAGTCTTTGCATGGCACACATTTCGGCCAGGGTATAGTCTATGTATGAAAGAGAACTGGCAAAGTCAGGGGTTGCCAGAGATCTGACTATCTACCAGTTTCTTTCAGACTTTGTCTGTGGGACACATTGTATGTATTCACTGTGATACCCAATGCAACATCGCCCATCAGAGAGACAATCCCGCCAGCTTATCCGAGCCAACATCACCACCGTCGTCCGCTCCAGCTCCAGCTCCTCCGTTTTCATCTCCATTAGCTGCGTTATCCTCAGAGTCTTTCTCTGCGACCTCCTTGGTGTAATCGTCCGGGTCCCAAGCCAATGCCCGAGTATTCATCTCTTCGAGCTTTATCGCCACGAGTCTTTCGATATCAGCTCTCTCTTCAGGCTCCAAGAAATCAAGTCTCTGCTTCCAAACATCGTCGATGGGAGAAGAGGTCGGCCCAAAGAATCGCTGATCAATCTTGCGCCAGTATATCAAGTCAAAGGCAAAGTTATTCCTTGCCGCATATGCAATCCAGAAGTCTCCCCCCTCCCAGCTCTCTCGCATCGGGCCAGAGAGTCGCTGCGTACTCTTCAGCCAGCCCTGTTCAATTGCCTTGTCCTCTTGGTACCTCATCGCGCTGAGAAAGGTTCGAAGGCGTCGTTCATACTCGCTACACCAGTCATCAAGGCCTCGAGGCCAGTATTCAGGCTTTTCAATCAAAAGCCACCACGGTGGCGCAAAGGAGAATTCGACCGGGGCGGCATATGTGAATTCCCAGTCTACAACTCCGACGATTTTCAGCTCCTCGTTCATGAGGATGTTAGCTGGGCGAAAGTCATCGCACCAGAGCCTGAACGGGCCTTTATCAAAGGATGCCGACCGCTCTGTTAGGCGATGTTCTCTGGCGAGTTTGCGGAAAAGATATCGAGCAACAAGCTTGCGCCGACAGTCTTCGGCTGAGTCGATTGCATCATTGCGCTGGTTTATGAGGTGAGCGAGGTGCAGCTCCGCTAGGGCTTCAAAGTACGAGGACGCGGTGTCGAATGTCGTGGTCGGTAGTTTCCCTTGGGGTAAGGATCCCAGTTGAATCAGATTATTCATAGGCATTGATAAAGGTCTACGTGTCACTTTCCAGGTGAAATCGTCCACCTGCTCTAGTGACCCTATCTGGGGTAGAGCTGGTTGAGAAAGCTGAAGCAGAATACTCGCGACCCCTCCATAAAGAACCTCTAATTTTGCCTCGCTGATATTCGGGTCAAGGATTCCACGATCTTCCTTTGGGCACCCAGGCGTGTTAAGAGCATCATACATGCTCGTATCATGGTCAACATAGTCCATAATAATAAAAGGACCTAATCCCAGAGGACTCTCCTCCCTTGTCCCCCAGTGGTGGACAAAAGGAACAGGGATTGAAGTCTGATCATAAATGTATCGCATGGTAGCGACTTCATTCCGAACCTTCTCTTCGGGAAAGATGGTGGCACCTGGCTGGGGGAAACGGATTACGGCAGTGTTTGCATTCTCGTACTTCATTTGAAAACAGATGTTGTATGCGCCTTTCTCGAGGAAACTGAATTCGACAGCATCGCCAGGACGATGGTGTCGGTCCAAGAAAGTGCCAACCGTTCGTAGGACGTCGGCTTCAAGAAACTGGCGAACCCATCCATCGGCGATGGCCTCGCTTTTCTCCCAGGCGACATCGTCGTAGCGCAGCCGTGGTTGCATACTTGGGGAGCCTCAGGGGGTGTGGGGGGAGGGGCAGGGGGGCGAAATCTCGGTTTCAGAATGCAACATAGTCAAAGGGATAGGATGGATGATCCACATACATGATACGTCGTACTGGGGCCAGCGTTCACTAATCAGAATCGCGATCGACACAGGGAAGATGGAAATATCTACTCCGCAAGGCGGAAACGGTGAGTAAATCGAGCTCCAGGGGTCCGGTCATCTCCGGCGATCTGTCCGCCAAAAGTCAAGTTTGCCGTATCCACAGCCACCAACACGACACAACTGTCGCATCCATCGTACTTGTCTGCCGAGAGGAGGGTGTCTAGTAGCTGACACCATGGATATTATTATCAGTTCATCTCGTTATGCGAGCCTCGCGGATAGTCGCCGTCTCGCGTTCAACAGCCCTGTTTCCGTGTAGGCCATGGCCGAAGCCATCCTTGAGCAGCAACATAACCTGCTAGCTCAAGCAGAGCAGATTGCTCTCGAGTTTGACCTTAGTTCTGAGCACGTCCGACGAGTGACGAGACATTTCGTCCGCCAGCTGAGTGAGAATGACTGAAATCTCCGTGGTGTACACGATGCTGACGGCTCCAGGGGATGGCCTTGCCAACCATCGCGTCTGGCAGCTACCCTCCTACGTGAGAAGCGTACCCACAGGCAAGGAAAAGGGCCGATTCCTCGCCGTTGATCTCGGCGGTAGCAATTGCAGGATATGCCTTGTCGACTTGCACGGCGACTCTACCTTTACCGTGACACAGAGCAAGCACAGCGTCCCGCCGGATGTCATGGTTAACAGCAGCTATCGACCTCTCTTTGATTTCCTTGCGCAGAAGGTAGCGGAATTTCTCGATGCGCATCTGGATCCTGCCAGTCAGTCACCGTACAGACTGGGTTTCACGTTCAGCTTCACCTGCGAGCAGACGTCCCTCGCTGGCGGACGTCTCATACACTGGGACAAAGGATGGGATATCCCCGAGGCCATCGGTCGAGATCCCTGCGTCATGTTGCAAGAGGCCATCGATGAGCTGGGGTTGCCGGTTGTGGTGACCGTTCTGGCCAACGATAGTGTTGGCACGCTCCTGACAAGAGCGTATAGCTCGGGTCAGCAGACTTCAACACTCGGTGCGGTCATCTTCGGGACGGGGACCAACGCCGCATACGTCGAGAAGCTGGCCAATGTGCGTCGACTGGGTGTCAAGGCAGGCGCGGACGAGATCATGGTGATGAATACGGAATGGGGCTGTCTCGACGACAAGATGGAAGTCTTACCGCGGACATCATTCGACGACGCCCTCGACGCAGCGACGGTCGATCCGGGCTCGCAGATGTTTGAAAAGAGGGTTTCGGCCCTCTACCTTGGGGAGCTACTCCGGCTGGCGATTGTCCAACTGCTGCAGACGGATGCGTTTGACATGAAGGTCGACAAGACCTCGAAGGTCTTTCAGCCAGGCGGCATCGACTGTCCCTTTCTCTCCGGGCTTGCCTTGATCGATCCGGATGACGTCGACAGCGCTAAAAGTTTCATTCAGGACACATTGTCTGCGGAAAGTGTCAGCCAAGTTGATGCGCAGGCCATACGACTACTGGCCTCGTCCATTGCACGACGAGCAGCACGTCTAGCAGGCGCATCACTAGCAGCCATCATCATCCAAAGCGGGCGCCTCGAAATTCCCAACAAATGCTCAAGACAGACGACCTCTGTCTCCATCAGCAGCCAGCACCTCGTAACTCCCCGCTGGCGTCGAGTTTTGAGCTGCGTTGGAATGAGCTCGCTAGCCAGTAAGTCGCTACCACCGAATACAGACCTCCAGACCTGTCTGGACGAGGACATCATCGACATCGGAGCTGACGGCTCGCTAATCGAATTCTACCCGGGCTTCGAGGCCGAGATGCGTGGCGCAATGCGGGATGTACCCGAAATTGGAGAGGCTGGTGAGCAAAGGATCCGAATAGGTCTTGCAATGGATGGGTCCGGTGTTGGTGCTGCCCTGATGGCACAGGCAGCAAGTCAGTGTACAAGCAGTCCGAACTAAACCAGGCTAGATTGCATTCATCCCTTTAGGCTCTCTTTTCGAATATGGAACCAATTCGTTACTATAGGTAGACCTGGAATATCACGCCTATTAATGGACGGTGGAATACCTTTAGACGGCCAATTTATAGTCTATGAATGCACATTGCCGGAAACGCAAATCCCTGCATAACCTTGTCTACCCAAGAGTCTCGTCTGCTGGTAGCCTCATCCCGACAAGGCAGAGCGGAATGGTTCATAATTCTTTCCAACTTATATAATACCCACCCTATGCAATGGCAATAGCAAGAGCAAATAATTCTATACTTCCAGGATAGGCAGAACCAAGCTATCCAAATTGCCTACTAGTGAGTAGTGACCAAGTTTCCACTGACCAAGTCACCCCGACGAGAGAACACACCCCTACCAAGGAACAGTCAAACCTATACAGTGCCAGCAGCACCCAAATGTACAAGGGATATCCCACAGCACTCCAAAGAGTAGGTCAAGCCTCACTGCAAATAGGAGTCATAAGCCAGGTTGTGTCCAAGATGGACATCAGCTCATCTAAGGAGAAGGTAGGCCTTAAGGAAAGTAATATCATTCACTTATGACTAGCAATAGCATGAAATAGCTAAAGAACCTCATGGTAAGAGGAGAATCCTTCTATCTTTGGTGATGACGTTATTATCATCCAGTCGTGCACCTTGAGGGTTAAGCCCGACTCCATGGAGTAAGACCAAGCTTAGGGGTTTAAGCTGGCTTGATAAGTCCTTACGAGGTAAATGGCTTAGATTCTATATTAGTAGAATCAGAATGTAGCAGAGGACATTGGGGTTATCAGCAGTGATACAGACAGCCTTAGGCACAATATAGAGTAGAATGCTATTCACCAGCTTAGTATCTTATTATGGGATAATTGATTGAAAAAAAACCTCATGTTTTACAGATATACACCCAACATATTTGTAAGTCTCCGGTGAGGGTTGTGGTACACAACATTAAAGACATCCAGGGTACAAACCTTATAGGCAGTAAGGCACCATCAGGCCTCTCACTGTTCATAGGAAACAGGCGAGGCTACACCTCCAGTCAAGAATCTACAGACAAGTTTCAGCCCCTGAGCTGATAATTCTTAACAATGGCTACATTCTGTTTGCTTACCTAAACTTGTAGGCAACCAGGCAAAGTATCCAATGTAATTTGTCCTGAATACTTAAAGCATTGCAGGTTAAACATATGAATATAATCAGTGGTATGAAGATGACTGGCCCCTCCTCCTTCACTACCTTACCTAGACTAGATCCTAATTCGCCCCTTAACTTCAGCGGTTAATGTTGCCCTATGATTGGTGAATGATATTAACAAGGCTGAAGTTACCAACCCTCTTTATTAGCAACATTCTAATTTCACTATTCTGTCACTTCTCAGTCTATCAACCTCTTTGTAGTCATACTGAGGATTCGCTAGAGAATGGGCTATCCCAATAAAGTCTCAGCTTGTCACTTGTTTAACCAAGATCTGATGTGCATTCAATCACATTTACTACATGTTAGATGTTTAATACAAATATTATGGGAGCTGTGGACTGATAGGCTTGCATTAGCTGCAAAATTTGGTGGCTGCACAGCCCACTGATCGAGTTTGATATTACGATCCCATCAATTGGCTGGGTCAGTTGACTGCTGAGGCCTCAATACCTTCTCTTAAGGTAGGAGGCAGTGCCTACTTCTCTGGACACCCCTCATCACTGACCACTGTTAGGTGGATCACTAGGTAAAGATTTCAGTATTCACTGAATACTGGTCCTCATCGGAAGCAGTCTATCGATCTTTAATCAGAATCAAGAGGGCCTCACTTGCGGACGTGTATCAGTGGTTCTCCTTTTTTTTGCCCCCGGCACACGATGCGAGGTTTGAGTTTTAAAAAAATACCCTGGAGAGTCCGCTCAGAAAAAAGATCTTCCCAGAGAGTGGATAAGAGCCGGTCCGGCGATGGTTTGTCCAAGTCAGAGTTGCTTGCTACCGCGCCGCAAGACGATGATCTATGGTTGAAAGCAGAGCTGCTGCTAAAGAAGAATGAGAAAACCAGCAGAATTTTAGCGGCAGCTACTGAAATCCTCGAAGCCGATTTCCGCTTCCAAGTTCCGTCGAACGCATTGATCGCGCGTGACCAAATCTGCAGTTTCCTTGATGCTCAAGCCCGTGAGCTGGAAGAGAAAAAGTGGGTGGTTACGCTGGGTGGACACAGTATCGAAGTCGAGGACCGGCTCACCAGGACTTTCCGAAATGTGTTGATCGTCAAGGACATTATTCATACTGCAGCTGCTGCAAGCCCACCAGCTGCCGTAGCCTGTGCGGGGGTTATGGTTAGTCTTCTGGTACGGCCATTTCGTTCCTTTGACTCATTAATGTCCGTCCACCTTTCTGAATAGCACTTAGCTCGTTGTGCAAGCCGTCGAGCAACATGAAAGCCTCTTACGGGGCCTAGAAACGACCTCGGCCTTGATTCCCCGCCTTCACCTTATGGAAGACCTCTATCTGCAGCATCCCAACGCGAAAGTCACCGCTCGATTGAGGAAGGAGTTCAGCGGAACTTTGACATTATTATACTCCAAGGTCATTGAATTCCAAGCCAGAGCGATATGCTACCTACGAAACCACTCCGTTTCCCGGCTTTTCAGAAACATGTTCAAGCAAGACGGGTGGAATGACTTAGTGCAAGACATGCAACGACTCGAGACAAACGCACAGAGCTTCGCTTCGGTGATAGAACCCACGGTGGTGAGAGAAAAGCTCGATAGTATTGAGAAGGCATTCTTGAAGGACCAAATTTGGCGAACCACTTCAACCCGGGATGAAAAGGCGAAGCAATTCTTCAAGCTGCTCTACACCTGCCCGTACAGAGACCGCAAAGACAGGAATAGCAAGCGTGTGCCAGGTACATGTGAATGGTTTACCAGCCATTCTCGATTCCAAAAGTGGGAGCACAGCGATCAATCCGGTCTCTTGTGGGTGACAGCCGACCCAGGATGCGGAAAGTCAGTATTGACTAAGTTCTTGGTCGATGATTTTCTCCCCAGCCACAGAAGAACGGTCTGTTATTTCTTCTTCAAGGATGATTTTCCTGACCAGAGGAGCGCCGCCAACGCACTGTCAGCAATCTTACGTCAACTTTTCATGGCACAGCCACATCTCCTACCGGATTCGGTATTGGAGAAACAGGACACTGATGGGGATAAACTCGTCGGATCATTTAATGACTTGTGGGGTATATTAACCAGCGTCGCAAGCCACCTGAAAGCTGGGGAGATCATTTGCGCGTTGGATGCACTAGACGAGTGTCCGGAAGACGACCGGAAGCAGCTCATTCAAGCTTTGAAAATTCTGTATTCAGAAGAACGCCTCGAGAAGCACAAGTTAAAGTTCCTGGTGACAAGCAGGCCCTACGATCACATACGTCGCGGTTTCCAGGAATTGGAAGACAAGGTGCCTACGATCCATTTAAGTGGCGAAGGTGAGGTTGAGACCCAGGAAATCTCGCGTGAAATCGACCTCGTTATCAAAAAGCGGGTCGCGGACATCGGCAAACAGAACGACCTACGGCCGGATGAGTGTTTATATCTGCAGCAGCAACTCACCTCCGTCCGCAATCGGACGTATCTCTGGGTCAGCCTCACCCTTGATGTCATCGAGAACATGTCCGGCTTTACGAAAGGAAATATTCGACAGACCGTACGAAACCTGCCGCAAAATGTTGACGAGGCTTACGACAGGATCCTCAATCGGACTTCTGACAAGGCCAAGGCCAGGAAACTGCTACACATTATCACTGCTGCGGAGCGCCCACTGTCATTGCGGGAGCTCTCTTTGGCCATGGCATTTAGCACCGGACATCGGTCAATCCCAGATATCCTGGACGAACACGAGAAGGACGATAAAAGATTCGAAAGGAGCATAAGAGATCTCTGTGGTCTCTTCCTCGTTGTAATAGGTGGAAAAGTTTACTTGCTTCACCAAACTGCAAAGGAGTTCTTGGTGGGGAGCAGCCAGTCAGTACCACCATCGCCCAATGATTCTCTTCAGAGCAACACATGGAAGCATTGCTTGAAGTCAGAGGAGTCTCACAAAATTCTCGCACACACATGCATGTCATATTTGATCCATGATACCACAGCGGATTCCCTGCATTATTTTCTGGAGTATGCAGCATGGAACTGGCCGTCCCACTTCCGCAGAGCTTTTGCACAATATGACCATGAGGCGGCCGAATTAGGATCCAAGCTTTGCCGGTCAGGGTCAAAGGTTTACGAGACTTGGTTCCGGGAATATAGATGGCAAATATACATATTTCCAAGAGCTCCTACTACTCTTCTGATGGCTTCCTATTTGGGGCTTGCAGCAGTAGTGAAGCTCCACCTTGATACTGAAATTGTGGGATTGGACTCCAAGGATTCTACATATGGTCGGACACCTCTTTCATGGGCCGCATGGAATGGGCATGAGGCAGTTATGAAGCTACTTCTGGACACTGAAAAGGTGGATGTCAATTCCAGGGATTCTGAATATGGTCGAACACCTCTTTCATGGGCTGCAGGAAATGGCCATGAGGCAGTTATGAAGCTACTTCTGGACACCGAAAAGGTGGATGTCAATTCCAGGGATTCTGAATATGGTCAAACACCTCTGTCATGGGCTGCAAAGAATGGCTATACGGCAGTTGTGAAGCTACTCCTGGACAATAGAAATGTGGATGTTGACTCCAGAAGTTCTGATAGTCAGACCCCTCTGTCATTGGCTGCAAAGAATGGGCATGAGGCAGTTGTGAAGCTACTTCTGGACACCAAAAAGGTGGATGTCAACTCCAGGAATTCTACATATGGTCGGACATCTCTTTCATGGGCTGCAGGGAATGGCCATGAGGCAGTTGTGAAGCTACTCCTGGATAATAGAAATGTGGATGTTGACTCCAGAAATTCTGATGGTCAGACACCACTGTCATTAGCTGTAGAGAATGGGCGTGAGGTAGTTATGAAGCTACTCCTGGACACTGGAAAGGTGGATGTTAATTCCAGGGATTCTGATGGTCAGACACCTCTTTCATGGGCTGCAAAGTGGGGTTATAAGGCAGCTGTGAAGCTACTTCTAGATACTGGAAAGGTGGATGTTAACTCCAGGGATTCTGATGGTTGGACACCTCTTTTATGGGCTGCATCCAAGTGGCATGAGGCAGTTGTGAAGCTACTCCTGGATACTGGAAAGGCAGATGTCAATTCCAGGAATTCTGCTGGTCAGACACCCCTGTCATTTGCTATATGGCATGGGCATGAGGGAGTTGTGAAGCTACTCCTAGATACTGGAAAGGTGGATGTCAATTCCAGGGATTCTAAAGGTCAGACGCCTCTTTCATGGGCTGTAAAGAGGGGTTATGAGGCACTTCTAGACACTGAAAAGGTGGATGTTGACTCCTGGGATTCTGATGGTCAGATGCCTCTATCAGCTGCAGAGAATAGGCACGAGGCAGTTATAAAGCTACTCCTGGACACTGGAAAGGTGGATGTCAATTCCAGGGATGCTGATGGTCAGACACCTCTTTCATGGGCTGCAAAGAGGGGTTATGAGGCAGCTGTGAAGCTACTCCTGGACACTGGAAAAGTAGATATCAACTCCAGGGATTCTGATGGTCAGACACCTCTGTCATTGGCTGCAGAGAATGGGGATGGGCCTGTTGTCACACTGCTAGAGAACACTGGCATTGCATCACCCTGAGTGAAGTCAAGCACTTTGGTTCTCTGAACTTTGGCAAATCTGCGCAACAAATTTCTTTGCCAGACACTCACCTGTTAGCAGTTGTCCAAGACAGGTAGTATGAAAAGGGTGGGAAACCAAACCCTAACTAGTAAGGTATGAGTCTGGGACGGGCTATGCAACTCTCTATTAATGCATAGGGCGGATGGTAGAATAGTAGATTGACTGTGGTTGGATTTGGTCAGGCCACTATATTTGATCGAAAGATTGACATCCGTTCTATATCCTCATTGATCGTAGAAATTCTATTAGCTCGTTCGACAGTAACCGATCAACAGGCAGATTTCAGCCTTTCAAAGCGTGACCAATGTTCTAGCACGAAGACGTTCGCCATATCTGTAGAAAAGAAGAGGCCCCGGGACAAACGCAAGGGCAATGAACCCCAGCAAGGTATTGCCCCAACCGTAGTTCAAAGCATCGTACATGCTTGGCCCCGCCAGCGGCAGAAAGGTACTGAAAATGTAACGCAGGAGATTATTGGCGCCGAGCGCAGAGGCAGCGGCATGGGAACCAAATACGTCGATCAGATAGAGCTGCGCGGGCATCTGTGTGCATTTAGAGGGTTGCATCAAATTGGGAAAAAAGAGGTTGATTACGTACCATGACGAAAAAGGCCCCAAAGCCCATAAAAGCTGTGCCGACAATGGGTACCATCCAATGGACCTTGTAGTAGGCAGTCCAGCCGTATATGAAAAGGCCGAGGCTAACAAGCGGACTGGACCAGATCATAGGAAGTAACCGATACTCCGGCCGGGGCTGTTGCACCCCCTCGGCCTTCAATTGCGCTGACTGAAGGCGGCCATTCAGGATGTTGAATGTGAGCATGCTGGTGACAAGGGAGACTCCCAGACCGAGGTACACCAGCCCGGACGCGGAAGTGCTGAACCCGTACTGGCCCTCGAATACGCTGGTGAAGGTGGTAAATAGCAGGTACATCACTCCAAATACCAAGGCCACATAGAGGGATATGACGAAGAGGATAGGTGACCGGACGAGCAGCACAGTAGGTCGAATAAGTACCTGGAGGAGAACCTGACGCGGGGAGAGGGGCTTTCCCACAAGCTTGGAACGGAGACGGTGATTTCCGGTGTCAGCGCGGAGACTGGCAGTTCTGCGCTCGAGGATGACTTTAGGATGTGTTTCGCTCATGATGATAAAAGCAGAAATACCACAGGATCCTCCCAAGATGGCTAGCAGCCAGAAAGTCCAGCGCCAGCCTTTACTTACAGCGAGTAAGCCTCCGATAACAGGGCCAAGGACCTGGACGATATCAGACTGGTTATTTGAAAGTCCAAAGACAAAACGAGGACATCTATGGTGATACTTACCGGTCCTGCGAGTGGTCCCATGCTAAACAAAGCCATCGCAACTGCTCTTTGCTCAATAGTGGTGATGTCTGCAATGGTTCCTCCGCCCAGAGCCATTGGGGTACCGCCCGCACAGCCTGATATGAATCGGAAGACGAGGAATTGAGCGACGTTCCGGCTCAGCGCATTGCCAATAATGAAGGCGACGAAGATAATATTGGCAGTATGGTATACCGGCACACGTCCGTACACCTCGCTGAGGGGAGACATGAACATGGGCCCAATAGCCAATCCAAGGACATACAGAGTGATGGCGAGGGTGCCGACGGCACTGGAAGTAATTCCAAGGTCTGCAGAAATACCACTAATTCCAGGTGCGCACATTGTCGGAGCCATATTCCTACCTCAATGTAAACACTCTGACCCAGCACCTCACCAATAGAGGGACAGGACTTACGTGGTGAGTGCTAAAATGGAAATGATGACAATATGCGTCCATTTCTTTTGCTTAGGCCAGTTTTTAGGATTGGTAGAATCGTCAGGACCGTCCCAGTCGACAATATTGGCTTCTTCCAGCTCGCTGTCAATGCCTTTCTCCAGCTGGTTCGTAACCATGTCAGAGCTACACTCGGACTTGGACATAATGCCAGGTTTGGACGCAATGTGTGTTGAAAGCACTCGGAAAGCAAAGAGGTGACCTGCCAAAAAGAAGAAAAATGATTGAGTTATCCGCAAAAGATGTTGACAGAGGCATTGCTGCGTTTAAGAGACTACCACTGCGGCCAAGTCCATGTAAACAAATGCGAGGTAACACGGAGATAGGAGAGTCAATTCATTGACGTCCGGCATGACTACCATGATCAGAACTGGGTGATGCTGTCCAGTCTCGGTATTCAATTAGGAGGATCGGAGCTTTTGTAAGTCAACGTGTAGATAGAATCATAGAATGATAGAAGTGTCACCGGAGATTGTATGGACTCGTGTCGATCATCCGCCGTGGGGCGTCGGATGGTCGGAGGAGACCATCGGAGGATCGGGGATTGATCACAGTAACATAGTATTGACCTAAAGAGGGAGTCATTCGGATTTGACCTCTTTATCTTGATTTCTGCGTTCAATGCTCGGCCCATTCAGTACGGACATGGAGATTGAGATGGACATGCTACAGGAGTAGTCAACCAGTTTGTTTGTCACGTGATCTCCACTGCTATCGATCTTACTCGTCTTCTCTTCCCCTGTCGTCTGTTGTTCCCCAGCATATCAACATCGACTCTTGCGGCAGGAGGCCCGTCGGACCGTCATACGCTTTATGACATTATGTTGCTGGCATGTCAGCCAAAGCCTCGTAGACGATAATTCGTTCTCAGGGTGACAAAAGGGTACCTAGACAACGGAAGGTGTCTGTAGCCAGCGCCAATGATATCCACAAGTGACAACATGACTCCAATCGCACTCGGTACAACCTTGTCAACAACGGATTCAAGTCATTGCTCTTTGGAATCGTCATCGCAAACACCCCGGGAGACTGATTTGGCTATGTCACGGCCGCTTCCACATCCCAGTCGACGCCGAAATAAGCCTCAGCTGTCTTGTAACTCTTGTCGACGTCGAAAGTAAGTGGCTTTCATTTCTACCTGTGGTGTATTTCTTTGATGATGCGAGGCTGAATATTCATGTTCTGCAGATCAAAGTGTGACCGTCAAAGACCTTGCTCATTTTGCTCGGCTCGCGGTCAAATATGTACATACGCTGAAAGTCTTCCCACTACGGGCTCGCCAAAGCCGTCTTCAACCGCTGCCTCTACTGTACATGACCGGCTTGTACAGCTGGAGCGCTTGGTTACGTCAATGATGCCCAGGTCCTCGAATGAGAGACTCGATGCTAGTTCGTCTGCAAAGGTGTGTAGGCTACCAGTGCCCGCCCGGAATACTCTGGCCGAAACTATGCCGATAGATACATCAGTTGATGGACAGTCTGAGTGTGGGAGCATGCGAATCAGTGACTCAGAGTTCCGCTATGTTGGAGGCGGTCACTGGGTTGCCATACTGGACGGTATCGCCGATCTGAAAGACCACCTGGACCGCGAAGAACAGCTGCGGCTAGCTCAAAATTCCGACTTCGAGCATGAGGTCGGCCATAGCAGTGGACCATTTGCAAGGTCCCGGTCTAATGGCGCATTTCTGCTGTATGGGTGTCGCCGCGCGACGTCACGCGATGAAATACTCTCAGCACTGCCCCCCAAAAACGCCGTCGATCGCTACATCTCTCGCTACTTCAACTATTTAGATCTTGTATCGTCTTGTAGGGACACTTCCATTCACTGCTGCCAAGTCTAATGCTCATTTTCGCTGACGCGGTTCAGCTGCGGTTCACGGACCGAGCTTTCTGCGCGAGGTAAGTAGAATATGCTCTACACCCCAGCCACAACGACGCTGTTGTTAATAGATACAGTACGAGGCATTCTGGGCCGATCCGTCCAGTGTCCCAATAATTTGGGTTGGACTACTTTTCGGTATGGTCTGTCTTGCATGTCTAGCCTCTGACCCGCCCGATGGACCCGAGGCCGAACAACAGTCCCTCCAGGTCAATCTGTACCGCGAGAAGATTGTGCAATGCCTGAACATGGGCGAATATACCAAATGCGGGCCGTATGCCTTGGAAACGCTCATCAACTACGTTTATGTTGAATTCTGCATCCGTGCCGATGCCGACAAGGACATCTGGTTTCTGCTCGCCCTGGAAGTCAACCTCGCCCGGCGCATGGGTTACCACCGTGACCCTGGTCACTTCCCCGGCATTTCGCCCTTCCGGGGTGAGATGCGCCGGCGGCTATGGGCGACAGTGCTAATGAGTGATATTCTCATCTCCAACCAGATGGGCATGCCACGGATGATCTCCGACTGGCAGTACGATACTGCGGAACCGCGGAATCTCAACGATGCAGAGTTCGACGAGGATACCGTAGAGTTGCCTCAACCGCGACCCGAAACCGAGCACACGACGGCCCTGGGTATCATCGCGCGCAGGCGTATGTTGAAGGCGCTCGGCATCATTGCGGACCTCACGAGCGCAGTGCAGCCCTGCAGCTACGGAGAAGTCATGCGAGTAGATAGTCTCTTACATGAAGCGGCTGCGAGCATTCCGCTGCCCCTACAGATGAAGCCCATGGCAGCTAGCGTGACGGATTCTCCACAGGTCATCCTGGCCCGGCTGTTCATCAGGCATATGTTCTACAAAGGACAGATCATGCTGCATCGGCGATTTCTTTACATGCGGTCAACATCTCAGAATGAGGATGCTTTTGACTATTCCCTGAAGGCGTGTCTCGACGCCTCGCTGGAAACTCTCGCGATCCAGTACGTACTCGACGAAGAAACCTGTCCCGGAGGCCAGCTTCATACGATGCGCTGGCGAGTCACCTCCATAATGAACCACCAATTTCTCACGGCCACCATGATCCTGTGCTCGTTATTGTATCACAAACAGACACTACAGCGGGAAGATGAGATCCGTGGTGCGCTGCAGAGAGCGAGGACAGTATGGATGCGTAGGCCCTCGACTTCTAAAGAAGCGAAGAAGGCCGCTGAAACGATCAATATCGTGCTTTTCAAAACTGGAAAAAGTCGGGAAGGGGATGGTCGGCCTAAAGAAGACGCCAGCAGAGAGCCTGGGGAGCAAAACGCTCAAACGAGTCCTCCGATTATGCAAGACGCTCTTGGCATTACTTTTGGCGGAGAGAAGGGCGTAACGGATAGCATCGGCTTCTATGAGCGTGAGTCTCTGATTGACACACCCAAATAGGTTGGGCTGACCCTACTGTAGCTGACCCATTCATCATGCCCGAATTCCTGGGTACTTTCCTGCCACCTGATCTGCAGGGTCAAGATCCGAGCTTCCACGTCAATAGTCCTAGGCTATTTCCGGACGAATTGATGCCTGCAAACTGGCCCGGATCGTAAGTCACTGATTCTAAGTTCTATCTCCGCATTGTCACAGAGTATCGACGGGCTATCCGCGCCCGCAGGAATGGATATCTTTGTACGGCACATCATCATTCGTGCCTAAGAACTCTCACCGGATCTCCTGGTTAGACCCGGCGCGACTGTCGTCTGCTGCTGCGAACATAAGGACCGAAGAAATGACCTATCCTCGTCATTGTAGGGAGGCACGACTTCTGCCAGACGGCAAATCAACGGCGCCAACTTGACTCTGGTCAGGAACGAGCAGAAAAAAACGCTCAGGCGCAGATGCAGCATCTAGCTCGGCGTCGGTAAGCAGCGGTGCTTTCCGAGGCACAGAGAGTAAGCGACCCGGGTGTATTCTCTCCTCGGTAGGAGGGACAGGCGGGGAAGAAAAACGGCGTCGCGTACGACTACAATTGCATTACTCTGTTAAGTGCGGAAAGATGGGACTAGATCCCGATGAAGTGTCCGCACTCATGCTTCCGGGTATGATCAAAATGCGGAACTAAATAAAATGACGAGAAAAATCCATCGCTCCCTAATTCTTAGTCGTGGACGAAGTCTTACGAGGAATTCCCTGAAATATCCAAAAAATGTTCATCTGTGATCATCAATATACACTCAGTGAACTCAGTGATTGTGTCTGGGCTCCTCGAATCGCTGGGCTAGTCGTTGATACTTGACTGCCTCGCGGAGGACCATCCCCTCGCTCAGTTGCGTCGCTTCCCTCCTGAACAGATCCTGCCAGGGAGTCTGGCTCTCAGGGACAGCGTACCCGCCATTGGCCTCCAGCTCCTTCTTCCGTTTCTCCAGTTCCTCCGCGGGTACAAGGATGTCGACGCGCCGTTTGTTAAGGTCAACACGGAGTCTGTCCCCGTCTCGAAGAAGAGCCAGATTGCCACCAGCCGCCGCTTCAGGAGAGGCATTCAGGATCGACGGCGAGCCGGACGTGCCAGACTGTCGACCATCGCCGATACAAGGAAGCGAGTGGACACCTTGCCGTAGAAGGCGTCCGGGAGGATGCATATTGACGACTTCTGCCGCGCCCGGATACCCCAGGGGTCCCGCACCGCGCATGATGAGGATAGTCCTATCGTCGATAGGCGTATTGGGATCTTCAAGGCGATGGTGATAATCCTCCGGCCCGTCGAAGACGATCACCGCGCCTTCGAACGCGTTCGGATCGTCCGGGTTTTCGAGGAATTTCTGCCTGAACTCTGTTGATATCACGCATGTTTTCATGATGGCGGAGTTGAACAGGGTGCCCTGGAGGTGTAAGAAGCCGGCGTCTTTCATGAGCGGGTCGTTGTAGGCTCTGATCATGCGGCGGTCCCACGTGTGCTTTCCTTGAACGTTTTCCTTTACGGTGCGGCCATTACACGTTAGAATTTCGGCGTGTAGTTTGCCCGCGTCCAGCAGCTCGGCCATGACGGCTGGCAAGCCGCCGGCGCGGTAGTATTCCTCGCCCAGTAGCTCTCCAGCTGGCTGCATGTTCACCAAAAGAGGGATGTGGAAACCCAGGCGATCCCAGTCATCTAGCGAAAGGTCCACCCCAATATGCTTTGCGATGGCGCCAATATGGATTGGAGCGTTGGTGCTGCCACCGATGGCGGTGTTCACGACGATGGCATTTTCAAAGGCCTCGCGAGTCATGATATCGCTAGGTTTTCGATCGGCATGCACCATCTCAACGATCTGCAAGCCTGTGTCATAGGCGCATTGTCCTCGTTCGCGGTACGGGGCAGGAATGGCCGCTGACCCCGGCAACGCCATCCCCAGGGCCTCGGCAAGTGCGTTCATGGTCGAGGCGGTTCCCATTGTGTTGCAATGTCCTACGGATGGTGCTCTGCAAAGAGTCAGAATACATGAGTCGTCTGAGACTGATCGTTGACATACCCTCGGGACACGTAATCGATGAACTCCTCTCTACTTATCTCGCCGGCGGCATACTTCTCCCTGCCTTTCCATACCACCATACCTGAGCCGGCGAGCTCGTTCTTCATATAACCATTGAGCATGGGGCCGACATTGAGACATATCGCGGGAATGTTCTGTAGAAAGATGTCAGAAACCGTTGGACACCAGAAAGCGCAAGCAAAGGTCACATACAACCGTAGCAGCAGCCATTAGAGCAGCCGGCGTCGTCTTATCGCAGCCAGTGAGCAGCACGACCCCATCCAGGAAATACCCATGGAGAATCTCAACCAAGCCAAGGTACGACAGATTCCGATCGATAGCCGCAGTCGGCCGCCTGGAGCTCTCCTGTATCGGATGCGTAGGAAACTCAAAGGGAATCCCGCCAGCTGTGCTGATGCCTTCGCGTACCCGCTTCACCAGCTCGAGATGATGGCGATTACACGGCGCCAAATCCGAGCCGGACTGCGCGATCCCGATAATCGGCTTCCCCGACATGAGCTCCTCCTTGGTCATCCCGTAGTTCAGATACCGCTCGATATAGAGCGCCATCATGCCGGGGTCGCTCTCGCAATTGAACCATCTGGAGGACCGCAGCTTCCGGCCAGCTCTGGACACCTTCGCGGCGCCAGTCGTCATGGACGCCAACGACTTCTCCAGCTCAAGCGTGCGCCTCCGGAGCGCAAGCAGTTCGGCCTCGCAGTCTTCGATGTTCACCGGCGCGCGATTCGCACCGGCATCGCAGGAGCAGCCTTCGCATGAGGCCGAGGCCTGCGTGTTGCACGGCATGATCGAGTGCCTTTGGTGATCTGATCTCAACCACGAGCCTGGTCCAGAATATGGATATGACGCTGAATATGTACGATGGGGACAGGGAAACCTTAATTGGGGAAATGCCGAGAATAGCGGAGATGCTCCGACCGGCGTGCCGAAATCCACCTTATTGCTGATGCAATGATTATCAACAGATCGAGGGCCCGAACAAGGACCAGGGGAGATGAATGTTTATTTAAATCGCCGCGAGCCTGGATCAGGTTCTCAGAGGCTCAAATTTGAATGATGTATGACTGATGGATCAATCCCAGTCAGTCCCTGGAAAATGGATGCGGCCGGTTCAGATACCCCACGCTACCAGAAACGGGCATGGGGGTCGCATTGGGCAGATGCTGGAGATGAGGATAACACTAGACTATCAAGCAGAGAGAAAGTATGATGATGATGATGTCGATGATGCCGGATATACGGTCTTTTATACGTACTCCTGGTACTCCGTAGCAGCCACAGACTGGGGAAAAGCAATATACGCCAAACAAAGCGGCCGTTTGTCGCGGCGCAGGTGACCGATATTGCTTTTTGTTTGACCATAATTCCATTTCTTGTCAGATTCCCTGGCAAACAATATGGAAGAAATACAAAGAGGTAATGAATTGAAATGCTTATTGAGGCAGTATTGAAGATATCCCACTTCCTTTCTGCAATACTGTAAAATGTCTCATCCCACTCTCTGGTGGCATCCCACATTGTCTACCCCACGCTCCACGGCGCCCGCGACCCAGCAACTGGTCATGTCTCCTTTTGAGGCCTTTTCAACTCCATTGCAGGTCTATAACTTGCCCCTTTGGGTTTGATTCTAGTACGGTGAAGCAAAATTTCTTGGAATAGACAGGAACGACAAGGTCAATCGTAGCTTTCCCATAAATCAATTTCCGGAACGCCTGCGATGCCAGAGAAGGGAAGCTCGCCTCAGCTTGGATCGAGCATATCTACCAGAAAAGCACAGAGCAGAGCAGGGAGGAAGGAAGCGATACGAGAAAGAATCTACTGAGGCGCACACTGCGCGGGCTCTCCGTCCTCGTCCTCGTCTTCCCACGAGGAGCCGCCGTGTGGATCGCGGGCTCCGAACTCATCCAGGTTTCCTTTCGGGTCGTATTCGACTTCGTCGACAGTGTCGGCCTGGATCAAGGGATCCGGTCTGGGCAGCATCTCTCGGAGTCTTTCCAGGACGGCTGCACTGGGCTTCCACTTGGAATCCGGGAACTTGATGTTGACAACCAGGTACAGGTCGCCCCGGGCGTCGCTGCGCTTGATCGGCATGCCTTCTCCGGGCACCTTCAGAACCTGACCGGGCGATAATACCTCCCCGGGAGTCTTGGGATGAGTGATTTCGATGCCGCGGCCGTCGAGATGTTTGACGACCACGCGCGAGAAGCCTGTCAGCGCTTCGGCCAATGTGACATCGATGGTGGCTGTGAGATCTGAGCCGGCTCGTCGGAAGGTTGGGTGTTCCTCTTCCACGATGTGGAACACTATGTCGCCAGGTTCCTGGCCCGGTGACTGGTCCGCCTCGCCTTCCAGCACAATTCTATCTCCTTCTCTAAACAGATATTAGCCAGAGGTTCTTATCATAGAGATAAGATTGCAAGTGTCACTCACTTTGCTCCCCGGGGAATGTAGATCTCCAGCATTTTCTTCTCCTCCACCGTCTTGTTGCCTTTGCACTTCTTGCACTTGTCCTTGGGACTGAAGAATTCTCCCTGGCCATTGCAGGTCGAACAGGTCACCGTTGATGGGGTAAGGAACTGTCCCATCCGCGTCAAGATTTGCTTGAAACCTGTGTCCAAATCAGTTCGAGGTGTTCATGAAAAGTAACCACTTGTGCCTCATACCTTGTCCATCACACGTCGAGCACTTCTTAGCCGTCGCTCTTTCCTTGCCACCTTTACCCTGACACAGACTGCAAATGACATTCTTCGTGCTAGCAAATTTGACCGTCTTGCCCTTGTAGAGGTCCTCTAACCGCACCTCGTACTTTGTGTTCTCGTCCGGGCTCCGTCGGGGCTTGGGAGGCCGTCCGCCAGGCATGCCGCCCATACCGCCCATGCCGGGCATCCCACCACCCATCCCGAACATCTGCGCCAAAATATCATCCAGATCTGGTCCTCCTGCCATGCCGGGCTCGCCGGAGCCATTGAAGGCAGACATGCCATGGGTATCATAAAGGTGTCTTTTATCTTCGTCGTAAAGGATATCGTAGGCTTCTTGGACGGCTTTGAATCGTACCTCGGCGGCTTCTCGTTCGGCCTCGGGGACCTTATCGGGGTGACTTGCGAGGGCGGCCTGTCCGTTAATCATCGAGTCAGCAATCTTTGTTCTGCTCCCGGCTGGAATGAGGACGGTGTGCGTTTCCGACCTTGCGATAAGCCTTCCGGATCTCCTCTTTTGTTGCGCTTCGAGATACCTCTAGGACCTCTGCATGGGTACGTTGCCGTCAGCTATTGTTCAAATCATGAAGAGCAGGAGAAATACCATAGAGGTCGATCTCGACACCAGCCATCTGGTAAATGTAAGCGATTGTTAATGGTAGAGAGGCTGTCCAACACAAGCATACTGGGCAAGGCTGTCCCCTCCTCCAAGCACTCCGAGAAATCTAACAGTGGGTTGAGGGTGCTTATCGCGCAGAAGACAGGCACTCCGGAAGAGAATAAAGGTATTTGCTGATGAAGGGGATGTGTTGTGTTTGATCGTGCTTGATACGATGCGGAACCCCAGAATTTTTAGCCCGCTTTTTTTCGCAGTCGGCGGTGATTTTTTGCAGATCTCCGATTTATCGTCCTGCGCTTTGCGGCGGTCGAATGACAATCCGCGGATTTCGGACACTGCCCAACAACAACAATTATAATCATTGCTGGTGTCCACGAGTACCGCACGTCTTCACGGATAGCATTCCGCATCATGAGACATTCTCATCTGGGCCTTCTGGCCCGTCGATTGTGGATCTGCACGCGATGCAGAGCAGCCAACTACTCCTCCGTCGCGCCAGCCCGCGCTGGCAGCAAGTCTAAGAAGAACCTCCCCGATGCACCGGCTAGAACCCGGTTCGCACCGTCGCCGACCGGATATCTTCATCTTGGCTCCTTGCGGACAGCATTGTTCAACTACCTCCTGGCGAAACGGACGGGGGGCCAGTTCCTACTGCGAATCGAGGATACAGATCAGGTTCGACCCTGGAGCGAGCACGGAAGGTTGGAATGTCGTGATCAGGGCTAACGGAGGGTGCAGAAACGGACAATACCTGGTGCGGAGCAGCGGTTATACGAGGATTTACAATGGGCTGGGTTACAATGGGATGAAGGTGCGAGGTTTTGCGCGGATTGAAGGACGGAAGGAATGGAGGTGCTGATGCGGGCTATTTTTACAGGTCCACTGGTTGGGGGTCCATACGGTCCATACAGACAGGTAAGCGCTCAAGGAGATGGAAAATCAATGCTATGAGACTGGAGCTGAGACGGTCGGTTCCAGTCGGAACGGACGGCCATTTACCGCGAACATGCCAACCAATTGGTCAAGAACGGTCACGCATACCGATGTTTTTGCTCTACAGAACGGCTCGACTCGCTCGCGAGACATCGCAGTCAGGCCGGTCTCCCTCCCGGTTACGACAGACAGTGTGCAGACATCTCCGCCGAAGAATCAGAGGATCGAGCTGCAAAGGGCGAAGCGTATGTCGTGCGCTTGAAAGTAGAGGGCTATCCCATGTTCGATGATCTAGTCTATGGCAAGACCGGACAGAACCGCTCGAACAACAAGCTGGATCTCATTGAGCGAGTCTACGATGACCCTATCCTGCTCAAATCTGACGGACACCCGACCTACCATCTGGCAAATGTGGTGGACGATCATTGCATGAAGATCACCCATGTGATCAGGGGAACCGTGAGTATATAACCCCGGGAAACAAATTGCAGATGTTGACTCGCACAGGAATGGATGCCCTCGACGCCAATGCACGTCGCACTGTATAACGCCTTCAACTGGACGCCTCCCCGCTTCGGCCATGTTCCTCTCCTTGTAGACAAATCCGGCCAGAAGCTTAGCAAACGAAATGCAGACATCGATCTTAGCTTCTTCAAGGAGAAGCAAGGCGTGTTCGCGACCACACTTATCAACTTCGCCGCTCTTCTGGGCTGGTCGCACACCCAAAAGTCCGACGTCTTCAGCCTGGAGGAACTGGAGCAACTCGTAGGTTGACCTGGATCCCCGTCCACAACCGCTCTGCTCACAAACACCTAGTTCAACCTCAAAATCACCCGCGGCAACACCGTCGTCGCCTTCGAGAAGCTCTGGTTCCTGCAAAAGGCCCACGCGCAGCGATTCGCCGCCAGCGGCGGGCCCGTCTTCGACGAAATGGTCGCCAAGGTTTCTCAGGCCGTCAAAGAAACCTACCCAGCAGACCAACTGTACGTCCATCATCCCAACACGCCTCCAAGAACTACCAACTCACCCTCCCACAGCACTACCATCCTCGATTCTCGCCCATTGGCAGAATACATCCCTCCGCTCCTCAAAGCCGACGCAAAATCCTACACCAACGCCCCGGAATTCGTCCAGCGCAACTCAACCTTCTTCACCACCACCCTCACACGACCACCCTACACGCCCGTTCCCACCCCGGACGGCACCACCATCCCCATCACAGCCCTCCACACCGCCGCAGCAGCCCTCACCCTTGTCCCAGCCTCGCACTGGACCATCGAGACGCACCGCTCCAACATCGCCTCCTACGACGGCTCAGCCGCCGTCCTGCCCACTTCCACTTCTCAGGGAGGAACTGCACCGGGGAGCACAGACACAGACGCGGAAAAGGCCCGGGTAAACGCAGACAAGGTCTTCAAGAAGGAGTTGTACCACTACCTGCGTTGGGCTTTATCGGCCGGTGCGCCGGGCCCCGGCATCCCCGAGACGATGGAGATCCTGGGCCGGGCAGAATCGCTTCGCAGGCTTCAAGAGGCAAGGGAGCTCACGGCTGAGGCGGCGCCTGTCCGTGTGCCAAAGAGAGCTCAGTCGCCGCAGGGCGAGGATACAACCTGGATGGGCTCTCTTGCTCCGCGGTCCTAGATGGTTTTTGTCACTGATTTCTTCTCCTCAACATTGGTATATTTTGCCTCGCAGGATTCTGTACTATATTACACATTATACGGCAAGCATGCACCGCTGAATCTCTATTCGGCAACCAGGTGCCATGTACAACCGAAGTATTCTACTTTTACCATCACTACAAATGTAAAGAGTAGACCGAATAGTGAACAAATATCTCATTAAAAAGCATATTAACAAAATACGCTACGCTGATATCATAATCCATGAAAATAGCATGCTATGCGACTTGTACAATACCGAAGAAATCCCAGGCAAAAGACACAAAACCCAACCAAAGCAAGGAGCAGGGAACCAGAATGTGATCACAAGGATCGGGGAATTCAAAAGGGAAATTAAGCGTGAAAGCCGAACATAAGAACTGGCGCCAGCCAAGGATCTTCTTGCACTTCCTTCAGGTGGGAAGTTCAAGATTGATTATTCAAACGCAAACGAAGCATAGTACACGAAAGCCGTCGGTCTGTCTCTTTTTTTGGACAGTGGGAGCCGGAAAGGAAAGCCACCGACCTATCGCCTCCTGCGGGGAGGGCATAACAGGGTTGCAGTAGGAGTCATAGGAAGAAGCCCACGACCTGGAGAATCAAATCAAGAAGAAAGTCACGAACGTGGTATAATTCAAATTTTGGCGCAGAGAATCAAAGAGGCTGTTTTGGCGCAGCTTTGGTGTCACCCGCAAGGCCAAAAGCGAGTGGACCCTGCTCCGCGCAAGGGGGGATTGAATTGCAGTGTATCAACCATAGTCAGGATCATCGCGGGGTCGTCAATGTCAAGCAATATCGTTATCGCATCTGGCTTGAATGAGTAGACGCTGCAAACGAGCTGAAGAAATGGAGCTTCTAATATGCCTCCATGTCATCCGTCCAACCAGCATCACTGCCAGCTACTCTGACCATCTGGCCGTGATGCTCGTCAATCGCCTCCTGTGGGCTAACGCTCCTGATACCCTTGGCCTTTTTTCCTGCAAGAGATGGGTTGCTATGAGCAGCACGAAGTTTGGCATAGTAGACATCACTAGCATCGGCTTCGGACTCGGACCCGTCATCGAATGTTTCCCAGTTTTCAGACCCCGTGTTCGCCGTGTCAACAGTTGAGGAGTTTGAAACCTGTCTAGGCGCCGGTGGAGGAGGCGCATGTTGCAAGTAAGGATTTGGTCGTGGGAAATTCGGAATAGATGATATCGACGAGGCCGAGGACTGAGAAGACTGAGAGAAGCCGGTAGATCGCTGAGAGAAAACAGAGGAGCTCATGAACGATCGCTGGTTGCGATCGTCATAGACGTCCTCGGGGCTGACAGGCCGAACGAAGGCATTAGACAGCGCGCTAGCACATCTCGGAGGATCCATCGAATAGGGCCCTCTTTCCTCTTTTGGGTCAATCGTCAAAGCACGCATCCTAGGTGGGGGAGCACGTGGTGCTGGCATCTTGCCCAGGGTGCTGGAAGAATAAGAACCTGGTGCTGCGCGATGGCCGCCGGAATTGTTTCCGTACGGCATGTTACTCAGGGGCACCCGGGCTGGGATCTTTGAGGGTGACTTCGCGCCGGCCCTAGATGGGCCGATAGTGTTGTATTTCGTCTGACCATTTCCGGTGGGCGTTCTGGTGGCGGAGCGAGGAGGAGGGGGCCCTCTCATGACACTCGCTGGACGAGAAGGCGGCTGGGTCCGTCCAAAGCTTGCCTTTGAATTCGCGGAAGGTGGAGCGGAGGGTGTCTTGGAGCGTGGAGGAGGTTTGGCAACGACTGGGGTGAGGTCGTCAAGATATCTCTCACCGTGCACAAGGAATGGCCTGCCATACTCCTCCTCCCATCTTTCCAACTCTTTTCGAAGGTCTGCTTCGACTTTGGGCAACTCTTTGGCGATCCTCTTTCTCATCTTCTCCTCTCTCAAGAGCTTACCAGGATCACGCCGCTCTCCTTTGTTGCCGCGCGCCATGAGACGTGAGGCATCTTGACTCGATGCAGCCAGGGCTTCTCGCTCCGAAAGAAGACTCCTATGCCTCTCGATCAGCTGCAGCGTTGGGGCACGTTGCTCCTTCAGCGCCTCCAGCCGGGCAATTTCCCCCTCATGTGCTTCGAGAAGCGCGTCACTGTAGACATCAGAAAAGGCAGGTGTAAAGTCAAGCATTTCCTCCTCGGAGAAATAGAGCCCATCCCAGAGTTCCTGCAGTCGGCAGCGCGCGTCCTCCACGAAAAGGTGCAGATTCTGCCTTTTAAGTTCATTGAGACGTGCCAGTTCCTCTTCGAATTCGTTGATCGTCCGCAATCCGCACCCCCGATTGGCCGCAAGGAAGGCCTTTCTATCGCATTCCTCGACACCAAAGCGCTCCCACAACGACTCCACAGCGGTTCGCAGCTCCTTCAACTTGCGCTCGCGCGATCTCTTTTCTTCTAGCAACTTCTCGCGCTTCGCCGTCAGGTTCGCCAAATCTGACTCGTGGAGGCCCAACTGCTCGGGAGACTCGCGGTAATACTTGACGATATTGGTATCCGTCTGCACCTGGGGTGTTCCAAGTTCGGCCCAAAGCTTGATGATCTCTTCGCAAGTCGTCTTGACAAACTCAAGGCGACGGTGGTATTCTTCATAGACTCTCGTAAATTCATTATCTAGCGCAGTAACATACGATGGGGAAAGGTCAAAGCTCGGCGCGATCGACGATCCAGGTGTTGTTGGGGGGAGTTCGATGGTCACAAAAGAGGACTCTAGATGGGAAGAGTATGACTCGAGGGCTTCAACGAGTTCTACTGCCTGTTAGCGAGTTTTTTCTAAACTGACCCATTTAGATCGGCACTTACTCTTCACCTGTTCAAAACGCTCCCGGTGCATTTTGCTCATCGTCCCATGCTTTTCGCGGAGAAAAGAGAGACAGCGGTTGAGGGGATATGTGACACGCAGATCGTCATGATTCAGTTGATAGTGCCCATTGGCTTTCTCATCCACTAGGGATTCCTCCATTTGTTGAATGGCAGTAATAAGTCGTTCCGCCTCCTCTGTCATGCTGGTTCTCTCACTGCAAAGTGCTGTCAGCCGAGAAAAGCGCGATCAATCCGGGTGCGACTTACTCGTCCACAATCTTGAGATGGTTATTCAGAGTCTCAGACAGAGCACTGAAGAGCTACACGGTTCAATCAATTAGCATCCACCTTTCGAGACAACGAGCGCAAGAATAAGACACCATACCTCCGTCTCTCGTGTTTCGCGCTCATGGCTCGGAACTCCAATATCATCAAATATGCCATGCAGCTGCGTAACGATATTGTTGACCTGAGTGGTCAAGTAACTCGTGTCGACCGTCATTGGGATTATGAGCCCCAGATATGGGGTTGAGATAGCGGCACTCTTGATCGATTATGTGAAATGAGGGCGAGACTGCACTATGCGAGTTCTGCGCTCTGAAATTCTCCGGCGACAGAGCGCCTCGATCTATGAAGGTAGCGACAGCAAATAAACACTCGCGGAATCCAAGACAGGTGGCGATCCACCATGCGAATAAGATCAACAGAGGCCGAATGTCATCTGCGAGAAATAAGGGAGGGGTGCCCGCAGGGCTTTATGTACGTCACGATCGTTGCGGATGTATGCAAGGACAGGGAAAAGGTGAGGTTGAAGGGAAAAGCAAATAGCTGAAAGATGGGGCAGTGGAGTGAGGCAAGGAAGAAAGGGAACAATAATATTGACGCTTTTACCCTGCGATTACAGTTGTGCAGCAGATGAGATGCAGCCGCAATCAAGATTCGCCCGCTGCGGCTGTTGATGGCGCCCCGTCGCTCAGGCAACCGCTGACTCAGCCCTCCACCGCCCGTTTCTGCCACTAGGCCTCTCACTGCCTCTCCACTCCAGATTGTCAAGCTATCTCCGATCGATTCTAGAGCTCATCATCTAATAGAGGGACAAGATCATTTGATTAACCCCGTTTCTGTGTGCCATTGCTTCAACAATCTGTACTTCTGTGCCCAATCAGATATACCGGCATCCTACAACAAACATATCCATCATGCAGGCTGCACAGCAGTCCTGGGGTTCGTACTCAAATGACCCACTTGGCATCGCTTTCCGATGAGCTACTGACACCGAGGCTTTCTGCCCCTCCATCAGAGCTCGAAAACGCCATCAGCCTCATCGATCCTCAGCGAGACGCGCTCTATCGATACGATGAAGAAACACACAAGGCCTTGAGCGCCGCCCGGCCATGGGCCAAAGACCCCCACTACTTCAAGTCGATACGCATCTCCGCCGTAGCATTGATCAAAATGACCATGCATGCTCGCTCAGGCGGCTCCCTCGAGGTCATGGGTCTGATGCAAGGGTATATCCTTCCCGAGACTTTCGTCGTAACAGATGCCTTCCGCCTACCCGTCGAAGGCACCGAGACCCGCGTCAACGCCCAGGAAGAAGCGAACGAGTACATGGTATCGTACCTGCAATCTTGCCGCGATGCGGGCCGCATGGAGAACGCAGTGGGGTGGTATCACAGTCATCCCGGGTATGGATGCTGGCTGTCCGGAATCGATGTCACCACGCAAGATATGCAGCAGCTCGGCGGGCCGTTCGTTGCTGTCGTCATTGACCCGGAACGCACCATCTCCGCCGGCAAAGTTGACATTGGGGCCTTCCGCACTTTCCCCAAGGATTATACACCTCCAAAGGAAGGAAACGAGGACGAAGATTACCAGACTATTCCCCTCAGCAAGGCCGAGGATTTCGGCGCATACGCGCACCAGTATTACTCCCTTGAGGTGTCGTTCTTCAAGAGCAGCCTCGACACAGAACTTCTGTCGCAGCTCTGGAACAAATACTGGGTGGCTACGCTGAGTCAAAGTCCCCTGTTCACATCGCGGGATTACGGCAGTAAGCAGATGATGGATCTCAGTCAGAAAGTTCGGCGGGCCGCGCGGGGGATTGAAACCAGCGGGTCGCGAGGGGGTACCACTGCAGCTAAAGATCAGCAGCTGGAGAAGGTAGTACGCGATGGGCAGCGGATTGTTTCTGAGGAAGTAAAAGGTCTCTTGGCAGCTGAGGTTAAGATGAAGCTCTTTCAGGGCTTCGGAGAGGGGACGCAAACGGGTGCACCATGATCTCTTTTCGCAGGATAGTAAAGCTCTTCTACGATACGAGATGGGTCTGGTTACCTCATCTTACTTAATGGCGCGATGAAAAGGAATTTTTTTACTATCATTTATACCTGCACGCAAGACCTCTGGTCATCCAGGCGTAGTGTTCTTTGGCTATTTCGGTAAAGAAGTCCCTTGTAGAAAAGGCTTGGAATAGAAGAGACAACAAGTACACCGAATTGATCATTATCCGTCGACTAAAGAGCGGACAACAGAGGCTGTGTCATGGTAGATCATCAAATTTACTATAAAGAGTATATACCTGTTGGAGCAGACCCAGAGACTCCAGATAAGCTAAAGATACACCAGAATTCATACAAAGAAAATAGTGAAGGTCATTGTACAAAGTAGGCCAGTCAGTGCCAAGCGCTCAATGATGTTCCACAACATATACAATGAGCGATCAGAATAGGTGCAATGAAAGGTGGGCGGAAAGTGTTTCGTGGAAGAACCGGGTCGCACGAGACAGAATATCGATGCCAGGATATTAAGTTCTCCGCTGTCGATGTGAGATAGGAAAGAGCCGTCAGGTATATAGAGATCGAAAAGAGCGTTGGGAATATCATTATATCATGCGAATACATGCGGCCGCCGACATCAAACTGGCCTTCATTTAGTTGGCGTTCTGAGTCGATCATTCATTCTTTAGCCCTTCCACGCAGGCGAACTCTTATCAGCGAGTTTTTTCAAATTGCGATAGGAAGAGGAAACTGGCCCTCTTGAACTTATGGACGAAGTATCATCAATGCCTCTTTCGATGGCGCGGAGGATGTCGCCGGACGAAGGCTGCAAATCACGGTTCACTGTCCTGCAAGAGAGCCATCTCCTCTCGTGATCAAATCCGTCACAAGGCCGTGACGTGGAGCAACCGTACCGAACCTAAATGACGATCGCGAACGCCAGCAGGGCATAGCCGTCAACCAGGAGGGCGGAAAGAAGTGGGATGCCAATCGGCTAATGTTCACTTCAAGGTGCGATCAACTTGATAGGAGAATGCGTAAGCAACCAACGCAAAGGACACTTGACTGGCTATCGAGCAAATATCCGGGGCTTTAGGCTGCTGCCGCTACCAAATCATGACGCTTGGATCGCTGTGGCGCACTGCTCGGTTTGTTGTACCATGTGACGCTAAGAGACGGCACGCGACGCACATGCAACGCTGACACGAACACCCAATAGGGTAGCAAGTCACGACGATGCAGTGGGAGCGGCCAGATTATAGAAAGCCAGATTCCGATAGTAATCTACGGATAAAAAGAAAACCAAAGTTAGTCTTCAATCAACCAATCGTTAGAAATGAAAAAAAAAAAAAAAAAAAAAATTGAAGCAGAGAAAATCCTCGAAATGTCAATCGCGGGTATCATTGGGGAATTTCAACGCCCGGAAATGCAGAAAATAAAAAGGAAAAAGAGACGGAAAACAAGAAGAAAGACAAGCCGACCTGATCATCGCGATGCGATAACCGAGCTCGCGATGGCCATAGTACTATGACTTCTTAAGTCTCTACTCGATGCAGCAGCAGCATACCTCGCTATTTTTTCATCCTCACGTTCCCTCGGCTCCACCTCCAAACTCCGGTCGTACATGTCGTGGACGTCACCTGCCGCTTGAAGATTACTGAGTATGTAGTCCTGTAGTTCCGGGACTGGTTGAAGGAGATACGGGACGTTTTGATACTGTTGAATATCCCGAATGACTTCCGCAGTCTTGGCGCGTTTGTTGAAATTAATAAGCTCTGAAGGCGTAAGAGATGGGATACCGTCTTCGATGAACGTCAGGTCCGTTAGGTAAACGCCTGATTGAAGTTTAGCCAATTGTCACTAAAAAGCGCGTACAATATGAGGGACTCGAGCTAGTCGTACCAAAGAAAGGAATGCAAGGTGGATTTGCGAGATGCAACGTTTCCCGATACTCGCCAAAGTTCTTCGTGCTGGCCATGAGTCTGCGCATCTGCTCCAAAATTGCAGACGTACGGCCACTGACTTGAGACCAGGTCCGACCGAGTCGATGAATCGGCGCCGTCCCGAGAGCAGAGATAATGGATGTGAGCGTAGAGTAATTGTTGAGCGCGCGGCATCTCTGTGCGGAAAATTAGCGGTTTGCATGCAAAGGATCGAAGCAGGAGAGGGTGGGAGAAGGTGATCAGCATACATCTGCCACGTTCACGAAATGCTTTATGACAACAACTCGCTTCTTGACATCGGATTGCGTGAGAATCATCTCCGCAACCCAATTGGTCAATTGATTTGAATGGAGAATCAGAGCCTTCACATTCGTAGCAGGTTCCGGCTCATCGGGGCCAACCTTCTTCTGCCAAGTCTTATTCAGACACTCAATGGGCCTGATTTTAGAGTAGAGGCGTGATTCGATAATGGTAAGCTGCCTGGCGAATTCCGTGGGATCAATATCCAGGAATTTAAGCTTCTTCATATTCTTAGGAAGGATGGGGGGAGGAGCAGCGGTGGCCTGTGTAGGGACGAGGCGCTTTACTGTGGTGTCTTGACCTTTGAGGCGCTGCTCGATAACTGCCATCAGTTGAGGCGAGCCAGGTGTCTTCGTCGTCGCAATGGAGTCCTTGGTAAATGCGTGAACGCGAGCCAAAAGATTCATATGCGCCTCATCATTCGGCTCCATCCAGAAATGCTCAAACCAGCTTTTGAGGATATTGACAACTCGGAATCGGATAGGCTTTTGCTTCCTGTCTATCCACATCTGCATTTCATCTGAATTCAGTCCAAATGGAGGCTGGATGTTGAAGCGCTCAGCGAGCATTTCAAAGAGCTCCGACGCAGTCGTGAAGGATCGATATGTGAGGAGGAAAGTGTTATTGAAAGAGGCGTCCAGTTTATCATGGCGAGTTAAGTGCTCCACCAAGCCCGCCAATGTTCCACATTTCAAGGTGGGTACATCGGCCTTGGTGTCGTAAAACACTTCACCTTCGTGATCCATGTTCAAGAACCAAGGCGTCTCCTCCGGTTCCCGGACAGGCTCCCGAATAGGCTCCCGAGTGATAGCGGCTGGTGGAGCTTGGCCAAAGAACCTCTGCGCTTTATCCATGTTGCGACGAACTTTTTCAGATGGCGGATCGACGGAATACGAGGATGGTATCCCGATTGTCTCTGTCGCAATCCTTGCCTGAGAATCACCACGACTATGGATGCCCTTATAAGCTTCCTTGTCGCCCTCCAGACGACTTTCGCTCCTAAAGGTGGAAGAGGGCTCAGGAATCTGTTCGAGAAGAAGCGATAGGGAGAAACCAATCTGAGAGACAAAGTTTTCAAGCTGCCTGGCGATACTCCTCACGGCATTCAGGCGGTCTTCAAGAGAATCTCCGCGAAGTTCAGCCCACTCGTCGCCCAGCGGCGCGGAAACAGCCTGGCAGCTAATGACAAAATCTGCGATGGCATCATAGGCTCTCTGCTTCTGTAGACTGAAGTCGACCAGCTGAGGATTCTGGAAACTTGTTCCTAGCGGTGCGAGATTGATGGATTCAACAGCAGAAATCCAAGGACGAAATTGTTCAACGACCTTGATTGCAGCTGCAGCAACTGAATCACTGATTTCGCGCTGTTCCGCATATGTAACAATCTTCTTCTGGTTGAGTGACAATCGCTCCTCTAGTCGCCGTATAGTCCCAACAAATGACCTCCTGAGAATGTCGATATGGTCCAGGAGAGCAGAGTCCAGAGGCACCGAGGGTTCCACGCGAGAATCTGCGCCATCCTGGTCCAAAAATGATGTCGGGCCCGAATCATCTAGAGATACACCATTGTTTTGCCAGCCGCCTCCCGAAGAGCTTCCGACAACGAACCCAGGAACGATACGGCGAATGGTTTCACCCCGCTGTTGTCTCGCAACTTCGACGTAGCCGTAGACTCCTTGTATAACGCCGTCTGCCTCCTGCAAACACTTGTTGACGGAATCTGGCCCTGGCCAATCGGCAGCTGCAACATGCGACGAGAGAACGAGTTTCGAGAATTTAGACATCATTTCTCTGAAGTGGGGATAGAGTGGCTTGTTTTGCGAAATAATCGACGGATTCCCAGAATGATTGTCTGTAGTGTCCGACCCAGCAGCAAGAAGCATGCGAAGATGATCAGATATGTCTTCCGCCTTCCTCACATACTCGGAGCGATCTCCATTCAGTAGTGTCTGGCGATATACTTCGATAGCGTGACGCATATTGTCAACCAGCATCGGCCAAGTGACAGGAGCCGTGAGGCCGTCATCGACGAAGCGGGAAGGAGCTTGGGAAGAGACGGACGGTCTGTGAATGTGAACGGGCCCGGACGTATTGCTCCCGGCGGTGGTTGTCCTCTGCAGGTCCCGACTGGATTGGTGCGAGATCTTGCCTTCATTGATCGATTTGGTGGCGGATGGAGGATGCAATGAGTCCATGGACGTAGCAGGAGATACACCATCAATATATGAGCGACGACGACGAGACATAGAATCGTGGGAGGCCAGCATTAGAGACTCTCCCTCCGCCTCAGATGCCGAGCCATCATAATCATCCTCGTCGCGCTCGAAACCGCGAGCCATCAATTCGGGTGGTGGCCGAGTCTGGTCCGGCACGAAAAAGTTGTTTCGGTCGAAGGGTCCGCTTTCGTTCGCAGAGGGATTCTCAAACGGCAATTCCATGGTGCTGTAGCCGGTGAGAGTGTTGAAGTAGAATAAACGGCCATCTGGCGTCGCTTGAGGGATCCAGAATGCGGCTTCTTCCTGCTCCTTGGGGGCTGGTACACCTTCGATAGGAAGTATCGGTTGTGAATCGCGCGGGTTTCCTGTGGAGTCGACCTCATCTTCATCGTGCTCGTGCTCTTCTTCATATTCGTCCTCACCGGTAGCCGATTCCGCGCTGATCTCGTCTTCGTCGCGAGGATGTACCACCTGACCCTCTAATTCGCTTGGATCGGTTATAATAGCGCAATAGTTACTGGGGAACCAGCCCCGGACGCTGTTGTTGATGACACCATCCCACCAGCCAGTCTCTAGTTGATTGAGAACCTGTATGATATCACCTCTGCGAAAACTGAGACTCGTGTGGTCATCGGCATCGTAATCGTACATGGCTCGCACGAATAGTGCTGGCGCCGGCTCCGGGCTGGGCGTGTAGCGCCCATCGCTGGTGGATTTCATGGGGGGCCTGTGTCGCTCCGGCGACCCCTTCTGCTGGACGGAGATACTGTTTCCACGGCTGCGACTTCGAGGAACAGATGTAGGAGTGGACACTTGCTCGTCGGTAAACTCAAAAGTAGTAGCGAAAGTCTGGGTTTTGGTCGCCAGTGCAGATCTGGTGTCGACACCCAACGGCTCGGTCATCCGGGTTTCGTACATCGAGTTTCGAAGCAATTGAAGAATCTACAAGAAATTTTAAAAAAAAAAAAAATATGGACATCGGACGGCTGCGTCGCCCTGCGATTAATGCTGGCGAGCTCAAACAAAGGCGTTGCTCATGACTAGACAATGCAGGTATCCGACAGATTCGATCGTAGCGAGCGGTGGTGGTGGTGGGTGGTGGTAAGGGAGAGGGGCGGTAAACGGGAGACGGACTGTGGTGGGTTGGAGATGGTGGCAGGTCAGATTCAATTATTGGTGGCAAGAGTCACTAATATAGACCAATACGAAAGGACTCGATAAGGAGTGAATGCACTTGAGAGCGTCAGCCGATCAAAAGGATTGATGGAAGCGTTTCATTTTCCTCTCTCCAGGAAAGTTGAGAAAATAGGAAGAAAGCAGTCAGTCAGTCAGATTGATCCGTCGAAAAGGAGGAGAGAGAGTTTCCCAGAGCACCTTCTGATAAGTGGTGGTGGCCTCAGGTGGGGGAAAAGCTACTACCTCTCCCTATAGTGGATAAGGTAGACTCAGTTGAGTACCACGTTACTGTACTGTACTGCTCAAATACCAAAATTACAATATGGAACCAGAGCACCCGGAGCAATTCGGTTGGCTTTGAGTATCTCAGCCCTTTGATTCAAGGTTCATAGCGCCATAAATTGAGGGCAATATTCATAAGAACGGATGATATTATTGACGAGAACGACTTTAATGCATCCACATCCTCAGTGAGCAACCTGTATATGCTTCAAATCGTAGGTATCTGCCTATCCTTGAAAATGGTAGTGATTTGGTCTTGATACCGTCATGGAATTTCGTCGTGTAAGTTACAAGATGGCACCACCTGAACCACCCACTGGCCACTCCCAAGGTCAGAACAGGAGTGTGTACACCGATCACCCGTTGGCTACTTGACAGACCTCTAAGCATTATGTTTGCAATGGGGAGTAAGCCGTATAATATCGTTGTTATGAGCGATTTGTATGGACGGAGTTGCTCGGGAAGTGGTTCCCAGTTGCTCTAACGGGGCTGACTTGGATGTTCTTTGGGAGTTGTTGGGGCACGCTACGAGATGGATAGGCTTGGATCTAATAAGTAAGTCGTCTTTAGAGCTTAGGAAGCCCCTCTTCGCGTCAGGCTACAGAAGTGCGGACCCTTTCTGGGTCCAGAGATTGATGGAATCAGCGTCTCGACTGACTCTCGAGTCTCGACCAATATATGGACCGATATTTTTTCCGTATTGTAAATCGCGCAATGAAGAGATGAGGTACCCGCGTAGGCACTCCGTAACGTACACCTTACAGTACTAAGGTATTATCCCGTGACAGTGGAGAAAAGCAAATGTATTGACAACCGGGATTAGGCCGTTTGATCGCGTCGCAATGAGATAATATTTCATGTTATTGCATCTTTCCAAGACTTCAATGATACATTTCTTGATACAGTATTAACGTTCGTCGTCATCATCATGATCATGATGATCCTCAACCCTTGAGCACCATCTGTTGAGCCTACGGAGTTACCAACGGAGCCCTTCTGAGCAAGGCCCCCAATGTTCCATCAATGACCATGGCAGTCGGCACACCATTGGTGCAAACTACGGATGTGTCTTCAAGCATATAGAGCTGTAAACTATCGCAGTTGGATGAGTCGATCCGGGTGATACGAGGACTTTCCGAGTGATTCGCGTCTGTTTGCCTATTGAAACGCGTTTGATAGATACTTTCGGTGGACCGGCTCTTGATGGTTGGACAGTGACGGTAGGTCGCATAAAGCATCCAATGAGCCAAAAAGGCGCATCACCGTAGCTGTTCAATGTCGGATAAATAATGCTCAGTGATCATCGCTTGTTGACGGCCTTGTCTCCCGGCTGTTCCTTGGTCCTCGGCGTCGTTTACGTATGCTTGTGATTTATGCTAAACATCGAGTCAAGAGAAGCCACAAACCAACAATGCCATCGTAAAACAGGATAAGCCTAAATGCACATGGAAAAAACCGGATATGTTGTTCGAAACTCCGTTCGTCTCTTCAGTGACATCGTGGTGGGACCGACTCCAAATATGTTCCCCAGATTATCTACCCCATACTGTCAGGGATGTAAATGGCAGTTCATGGACTCCCCAGACACCCACGTTCAGCCTATTCATGCTGTTAATCCCGCAAGAACTACGAACCGACCAGGGATGGATTAGGAACGGAGAATCACAGGGAAGAAGAGGTCGGGCCGGCCCGTCAACAATAGAACCAAGGATTCCTGTAGGGTAAGTGATCATATGCATTCATTATCTTGACACACCTGCCTTCAAGTTCCCTCATCGCCCCGAACCCCAGAAGTAGCAGAGGCCCTGGTCGATGTGTGCGCAACTGATCATGTCACTTGAGACGGGAAGCCAGACGACCTGCGGGTCATCCTGACAGCTTCTTGGCCTGTGGCGCTCGGCGTTACTTGCCATGACCTCGGCTTGATAATGGCTGTGAAATGAGCTACTCGACAGTAAAATTCTTCTTCATTTATGAAATATATGCACCCGCGATGCTTCCGGGCGTACTGTACTGCTGTATGAGTCTTTCCGATGTCTGTGATTTAGACTCCATCTTTGGTGCACTGACCTCGAGACGTCAGGTAAAGCTTGGACATCCTTTGCAGGCTCTTCGCTCGAGGGACGGGTTCCAACTACACACCTCGGTAGGCTGGTTTTGAACTCGATGTTCCGAGTTTTGCATCCTCAACCAGGCAGGAGACGATCTTGGATCTCAAAGACCCATGGTTCCTCTCAAAGTCTGTTGGGTAAAGGGACGACAACTCTGGGTGTTGGGTGGCCTCGAGCTCTATAGTGGCACCGCAGAATTGGCGCAGGCTGCCTTGTACAACCCTTCCAGAATGAGTGCCTTGATTACCTTGCTTCAGATCTGACAGTGCCCTCCGGCAGAGGAATGGATAATTTTGGTTTGGATGAAGCACAGGCTGCCGATGCAGGGCGGCCTCGGTCTGATGCTCATCATCACCTCCACATTAATTTCGGGGGAGCCACATGTCGGGCATCTGGTTGGATGTACAGTGACTGAGAAAAGACCAAAAACTGTGCACGGAAGCCAGCGAGTCTCCTCACTGACGACCAAACCATGACATTATCAAGCGTAGCACTTGGACGTTCGTGCCTTCATCGCCCTGTTCTACTGTTCCAAGGGATATCATTATCAGATCCTCCGTGTGAACGAGACAGGTGGCTGCCAGCGTAGCGGAATTCCACACAGGTCCTATATCCATCTGAATGTTCAATTGGAATAGGATGAAGAGCCTTGCAAGTGCCGGTGTCCAAGTTTGCAGCAGAGTGTACATTGAGTCAGGTTCTTAGACCAATATTAGCTCTAGCCGTTGAAACGATATTGAGATCTGTTGAACTTGAATCTATATTTCTCTCTCCTTGTCCAGCTATGGTGTGAGCCCACTGCTTCTTGCTGTATTTATATCTCCTTGTATTCAATCCTAGTAAGTCATCCCTCTTTCAACCAGTATCGATCAACAATTCTGCAGTTATATACATACGGCACGCTTGGACGTGATGGCAGTTCCTAGAGTCCACATGCCATAAATGCAGCCTTTGCCTGTATCACCTGAAGCCGCTGGTACTCTCTCTGTCATACTCGCTCATACTGAAATACGCCTTCCTAGTAAACAGTCCCAGAAACCAATCTGATCGACACATCCAGATTGATCGGAACAAGAGCTACTGAACCACAAGCATGGTGTCTCAGGCGGCATACCACCCATGGATAGACATTGTGCAGTTGATGATCAGTTTCCTGACGCTGACGGCCTGTCGCCCTGGCAAGGCGTCTGACCTCGTCGCTGAATGACTGTGGACTGATATATAACTATTATGCTCAGCTCAGGTGTAATCTTGATGCGAAGAGAATCTACAGGGACACAGAGATCTCACTACCATAAGGATATGTTTTTGTATGAGAAATCCGCGGTGTCCTTTTATTATAATCAAGTATTCGCTTGGCCAGACCTCTAGCAGAATGCTGATGCTCTGTGAGCCAGGCAAGACGAGATCCATGACGGAACTGCTAATGTAGAGATTGAGAACCCTCAAGCTTGAGGAGCTTTTCTGCTGCATCAATGACATACTGAGAGACAATTTATTTTCATTGATGACTACCTTTGCTGAAGAGGATGGATACAATGATATCGATGCCTTCATGGCAGACAACTTTCGTCCATATCAATCTTCGTGCCAACCCCTACGATGTATATCAATCAGCCGGCATGATATCTGCTCTCAGTATGCAAAGTTCGCAGCAGTGCTCACATTCAATACTTCTAAAGATTGACTACTTCCATACTCCCTTTATTATGGTGTTGAATGACAGCGTCGTGACCCCCAAGGTACCTGTTAAGCATCGCACAAGAGGGTAAATTAGCATGTGGAGTGGTTGGATTACACCAAGATGTCCATTTCTAGAATAGGATGGAGTAGAGGCCTTTCATATGGCCGTGAATCTCTACATTGACTCGTCATGCAATGAGTCGACGCAGTATCGTCTTCTTGACCAAGTTGCAATCGGAGGTTTTCCTGGCACAATAGATCAGCTATAGCACAATCAATATTCTGGCTTAGGAGTAGACCGACGGGCTGCAAAATAAAGTCTACTAACTATGATAGCGGTACATCTCTCTATTGACCCGGAAACATGAACTAGAATGGAAGTAGGTTTTTATTCTCCTTTTCGGTTTCATCGCGAGGAAGCACAGATTGATCCTTTGGACTCCATACGTGTCAAAAAGGACAAAAATCAGATCGAAAGAAGAACAGGAAGAAGCAAGGAAGACAAATCCTAATGCAAGCATCCCGCTCCCCTGTTGCATCTTGCAATCGGACCAATCCCCCGGGGTTCCCATTTGTGGCTCTCAAAGTTTGTGCTTTGCACAAGCCTCGCACTGATTCGTTCTCCTTGATGATAGACTGTCGAATATGTTGACGCAGCACTCCTTC